AGAAATGTAATTGCCGAACGAGCATTGAGGTTTCATACTGTCTATTCGTCCGTGTGTCTGCAATATATCTAAGTAGATAGAGAGCGCTAACAATGTACTCCATGTATGAAAGATCGATGATAGTTCAGGGTTCAATTACTGAGTACTTAGATTGATTTTGCTGTTTGTATTAAGACACCAACAGATCTTACGAGACCAGTCATAAGAAAGACAACTCTTTTTATATCTAAATTTTGATCAGTACGATTCTATTAATTATTTTTACTGCTTACATGTAACCTTGCATTTCACCATGCCAACACAAGTTTATGTAAATACGCTCTTGATTTATACTGAAGCTGAATGAACCGACTTTCAAAGACAAAGACACTGTATAATGTTAATATGTTCAGATTTAATTAACAGCAGATTTCTGTGTAATGGTGCTAACTGTTGTGTCCCTGTCCACCACAATCGTTGATTTTTTTTTTCTGTAACCGCTTTGCAAATTTCAATAAAACTTGCACAAAAATTTTCTTCACTGGGATGAATTTAGATTTTCAATATTAATATGTTCCCTTCATGGAGAGATATTTAAGGAATAAAGTGCAACTAGACGTGCTCATATAATTTTAACAAAACAAATGTGTCTGAAAAATTATGTGCATTCTCCAATTTCGTTCAAATTATGGCCTCTTTGTTGGTGGGAGAAGTCCATGACTAATCATGCTGGCTCATGACGTATATAGGCTCTCCGATCACCGAGGTCTGTTTTTATATGCTGCAACATTAATCGGACATACCAATATTATAAAGTTATGGAGTCTTGTCATCATCCTACTCCATGTATGAGTAAATACGAAGTTAAAATAGATAGTTTTCATATGACATATTTTCTCTTCGAGTTATTTCCCTTGGCCGCCATTTTGGTGGTCAACCTGGTAATTTTTCCTCTTTGTCTTACCAAATTTAAGAGGGTGTAGCAGAAATATTTGGAGGAAAATCTTTATGGAATAAAAATTATGAAAAAAAGGAGGCTTTACCAAATGTATATTTTTTAGAAAAACAATGCTGCCTACCCCACAATGGCCAGTATATAAAGTTAAAGTTGGTTGAATAATGAAGGAATATGAGCATGTTGACCTCCAATATGGCGGTCACAGGGAAATAACTCTTGATAATTTGGGCCTACTGAAAACTATCTATTGTCCCACTGCATTTAAGAAATAAGCAATGATATTCAGTGAACATTGCGTTATTAATAGCAGTTGATCTGACTGATATATTCCATTTTATTACATTTTCAACAGTGAAATACTGTGATTTATTTAATAAAAGTGATATTCTCTCACAGTGTGAAAGAATACCAAAATGATATTCTCTCACAGTGTGAAAGGATATCAGAGTAAGTAAAAAATAATTTCTTGCCTGTCATAAGGTAGAGATTAGTAACTAAACATCTTGATAGTGCTAAACCTGTAATTTTCTTCCCAAATATGTTGCTAAAATCCATGCTATGTAATGTTTTCAATCTCACAACTGCTAAGCTATGACGTCTCAACCGCTCAACTATGACGTCAAGCCTAGCTATGACACTGTGTTAAAAAAAGACAGAGGCAAAGGGAAAATTAAAGAAAATGTAATAAACAGAAAATTCAATGTTTTGTAGATGAATGTGGAATTTATTTCACTCGTGAGACAGGATTTTTTGATATTTTCACTCGTGCTTCGCACTCGTGAAAATATCAAAAAATCCTGTCCCACTCGTGAAATAAATTCCATATTCATCTACAAAACATTGAATATCCTCCATTTATCTAGTAAATAGAAACTTTATAAAATACGTTCAAATAATGTGAAAATATAGCTCAAAAATAATATACAAAGTGGTTTTAGGCAATCAAAATATCTGATGCATAAGGATTTCTCAAGAACACCAGGGGGTCAAGCAGGTCAACAGGAAGTGAGTAACATTGGAGTTAACTCATACCAAAAAATAGATACATAATCATAGTAGTTAAGTTGTACCAGGGATTTACCATGTAAGTTTCAACAACAATAATAACAAGTATTAGTTTTCTTAAAAAGCTGGTCTGACGTGAGCATTTTATTATACGAAGAATTAAAAAAAGTTGAATCCAGCGTAATCAACATCATTCCGAGTCCAGCAATAAATTATTTTGCTAAGAAACAAAAAAGTTCAATCCCGTGGCAACAAATGAAACAAAACTCAGTTATGAATTTATTCTATATATATACTGACAAGCATTACTTGTAATTTTCTTTTTTTTCATGGCCGTAGGAACCCCCCCCCCCCCCCGTATTTTGCTGATATATACACGTAATTATATGCTATAAAAACACTTATGCTACTTTATGCTTGTTTCCCATAACTCAAGTAAATAATGATGTTTGAAATTCATGATAACCTTTTTTACTTGATATTAATGATAAGGAATTTTTCCTTGATAGTGCCCCCCCCCCCTCCATTGAAATTTTTGGTTGTGGATTCCCTCCCCTAGAAATTTCTTCCGACTGGCCTTTTCCTAGATACATAAATATAACCGGTGCTTTTGAAAGAAAAAGCTAAAACACATATTAAAAAAACTAAACATCAGTTGGTGAACAGTTGGGAGAATTATTATTTTTTTTAAATCATAAACTTGTTTTAATGAGCAAACGTCAGCAAAGTTACGCATATGTGTAATTCTATAGGTATAAAGACTGTATGCATTGAAAAAAAAATCTATTAATTAGTTAAGATATTCGGCATACATGTTGACCTGTTCGACCAGCTTCATTCCTGCTGTTTTGCTGGACGTACAATGTACATGAATGATTGTGCACGTAATGTATAAGAGAGTGGGCAAATGTTATGTTACGTGTAATGTATAATGTGAAAATAATTAGGTCCAATGCTTTGGCTTGTTTGGATGTTTAGCCATTAATCCCCATGCTCTCAAAATTGATAGTTAAGATAGAATGAAGTTTCCAAGATCGAGTTATCACAAGAATTCTACTGAACGACTTGACCAACAAGCCTTGGCTAAATCTAGTACTGTCTGACGCCATGACGTCAGACAATAATAGACAACACAGAAAAGTTAGACGAAGCCCCCCCCCCCCCCCCCCCCGAAAAAGGATTTTACAGTGTGGTTCACAGGTTGTTATTTTTATTTTATTTATTTATTTAATTTTTTTTTGGCTTGTCAACTCTTTTTGGAGGTTGCCCCCTTTGAAAACCGTTGCTATAGGCCTATACAGGCTTGAATTTAAGTGCCTGCGGTTTGACTTAGAACCCTCCCCTCAGTTTCAAAAACTGCTGGATCCGACCCTGGACTGGAGCACTAGAGGGTCTCGAGTTATCTAAAGCAATGCTAGGTTATCGATTAACTCGATCAATTTAAAAACACAAAAAAGATTAATTTTGTGTGTAATTACCTGCAATCGTAACTTCTCGGCAAAACAACGTGTTTTTCCGAACTTGCCAGAAAGGTCTGAGGCGATTGACAATCTCATCGCACGGGAAAATTAAAGAAAACGTAATAAACAGAAAATTCAATGTTTTGTAGATGAATGTGGAATTTATTTCACTCGTGAGACAGGATTTTTTGATATTTTCACTCGTGCTTCGCACTCGTGAAAATATCAAAAAATCCTGTCCCACTCGTGAAATAAATTCCATATTCATCTACAAAACATTGAATATCCTCTATATACGTACTAGCGTGTCATTCATAACGCCATATTTAGTGAATAAACGTTGTTTATTACTTACACTTGCATGTAACCATGTCGTTTTGTCAAGAATGACTGAGGAAAGACTGACTGTAATCTGTTATACGCTAGCTTGTATTAAAAAGAAAAAGTGATGACAATAAATCAGCAGATTTACCTGATCACATACAATATTCACGATATTTCTAAACACTCATTTTACACTATCTGTTTACATGCCGTCTTTACTAACTTGTTTCATTTTTACTCATCATATTTCATTTTTTGAGTTGACTTTCCACGTCATAACGGCCAACGCGCGGTATTCAATTTGTCGACACGACCAGATGCTGTTATAAGACCGACGGCATCCAAAAATTAGAATTCAATGCTTAAATATAAACAGGTTCGTCAAATGACCACAATATTGTGAGATCGACGTAATTTGACCATATGTGATCGACGTGTTCAACACATTCAATTACACCTTTGAGATTTGAAAAAATAAATCATTTCATGGGTTTAAAACTATTGTACGCAATTATTTGTTATAAAACAGTCATACATGTAAATATAAATAAAAAGGTGTCATTTTTGAACATTTATAGTAATGTAAATAAGGGTTGGTACGTGATCAAATCAACCCATCATTTTATTGTACAATTTTAAACGTTGCCAACAGTTAATTTTTAAAAACTTTGAAAATAATGGTAAACAACACCTCGTATCATTTTATTTTTAAGCCTAAAATGTACAATTTAGAATTTTTACTTATGCTTCCAAATATACTAATGAACGGCATACCTTATATATGTAGGTAGAAGATTTCTCCTGCTAGAGTTTGACAAAAGCTGTGCACATGCTGAGGTCAATTGCATGTATGGAGGTATAAATGCAAGTGCTAGGTACAGGCTTACAGATGAAAATAACAGAGCAAATGCAAATACAGTTGAACTTCGATATCTCAAACACTGATATCTCGTAGACCATAGAAATATCAAAGTGATTTGGAAGTCCCGAACACTTATTCTTCAAGCATTTATCCTTCGACTTCTCGAGTCCTCAGATAATTCATTTGTCCCATCAAGTTCAAAATAACCAGGTTTGACTGTAATTCTAATTATGTGGAGGTAGAGACAGCCATTACAATGATGTTTGTATTCTAATTTGAAAAGATAAATCTTAGTAACTGAGTATTCCTTGTCTTGTTGCGAGAAGTAGAGGGATACACTCAGATTTTTAATCAACACATTTCATTATTTCAATAATCAAACCATAAGAAAATGCAGTTTTTTCTTCTTCTTTTGCTTTATTTTAGTAAAAAATCTGGACGGTTATAATTAAATTTTGTAAAAGCTACGTTCCGAGATATTTTTATCTCAATCTGTTAAGATAACAATACATCATAAAAATAAATCTAAATATTTAAATGTGTTTGTCCATCAGGTTAATGTATTATGCACTTCTCTAAGGAAATGAAATGAATAGATGTCATATAATGGTATTATAACTCTACAATGTCCTGAATTACTGCCACTAAACAATAGATATCATAATCTGGTTACATAGTACTTAACAATAACATTGTCCTCTCCTTATCACAGAAATGCTTTAACTAAAACAAAACAAAATATAAAATCAACTTTAAATAAATAAACTCTATAACAGGAATATATGTTAATTACTAAACATTGTTTAATTGAGACACACATTAATAAACATTCAGGCATTCCATCATTAATAACAGTTCTAGTATCACAGATAGGTGAATAAGGAGAATGTCTAACAATATAATATAAACTATTATTGATCTTTTTCACTTTCAACTTATTAGTCTTTTAAGGAAGAATATTATTTACAAATTGTCCATGAAGGTAGACAGGAAGTCTGTGTACGACACGAGTCCTCTCATATCTTGGTCGAATTCACTGAGGATGTGGTAAAAGTCTTCATTAGATACATGTATATTACATCCTGTCAACGCGCGACGGAAGTCAGAAACTCCCAGCAATCCCTGCCGGTGAACATCCAACCTACGAAACGCTCGACGCAAGTTTCTGTGCTCGGCCATCAACTGAAAATATGCTACAGTGTAATGCCAGATTAAAATTGTTATGACATATATATATATATAATATTTAACGATATTTTGATATAGACTTGTGTAACAGATGACTATTAATGAACCTTTTTGTAATTAAATATTTATGATACTTACAATCACATCAAAGAACAATGTCCCAAACTACACATTATGAAAATCAAGACATGAAAACTACCAGCGATGTCCAAAAAACATAAAAGTCATTGTGATTAATTATACTAAACAATAATACTGAATAAAATTCAGTATTTCAGTGGTTAAAAAACCAGGTGAAAATTCTACTGTGCAAACACTGAGTGTCATCAATTGAACATAAACAATAAAAAAAAATAAACAACACAAAAGTAGCTTTTCATTTTATTCTTAAGTACTGTTGGTAAAGAAAAGAGTGCATTTAAAGCATGCTTCAAGAATATTGATTTCGTAATAAAAGAATACAAGCCATGCAATTGGTTCATAATTTTGACTGTAGTAGAGAATACTTTAATGAGTAAAGGTTTGAAATTTTTCTGAAATCTGTATCAAAGCAATATAAACATAAAAGACAAATAACATAATAAATTAAATCCTGAATCCACACCACAGGCAAACAAAAATTATTTAAAGGTGTTTAAATTATTTAAAGGCATTTAAATTAAAATCACTAAAATAGTGAATTCAGACAATAGGACCCATTGTATGGTGTACATTTCATACAGTTCTGATACAATTTACATACTTCAGTCAAGTATATAGTCAAGTATCAAACACATCACTTTACTTATCAATACTTCAGTCAAGTATATACCCAAGTCAAATATCAAACAAGTCACTTTACATATCAATACTCAAGTCAAGTATATATACCCAAGTCAAGTATCAAACACGTCACTTTACATATCAATACTCAAGTCAAGTATATACCCAAGTCAAATATCAAACAAGTCACTTTACATATCAATACTCAAGTCAAGTGTTTACCTAAGTCAAATATCAAACAAGTCACTTTACATAGCAGTACTCAAGTCAAGTCTATACCCAAGTGTAATATCAAACATGTCACTTTACATATCAATACTCCAGTCTAGTATATACCCAAGTCAAGTATCAAACACATCACTTTACTTATCAATACTTCAGTCAAGTATATACCCAAGTCAAATATCAAACAAGTCACTTTACATATCAATACTCAAGTCAAGTATATATACCCAAGTCAAGTATCAAACACGTCACTTTACATATCAATACTCAAGTCAAGTATATACCCAAGTCAAATATCAAACAAGTCACTTTACATATCAATACTCAAGTCAAGTGTCTACCTAAGTCAAATATCAAACAAGTCACTTTACATAGCAGTACTCAAGTCAAGTATATACCCAAGTGTAATATCAAACATGTCACTTTACATATCAATACTCCAGTCTAGTATATACCCAAGTCAAGTATCAAACATGTCACTTTACATGTCAATACTCCAGTCTAGTATATACCCAAGTCAAGTATCAAACATGTCACTTTACATGTCAATACTCCAGTCTAGTATATACCCAAGTCAAGTATCAAACACGTCACTTTACATGTCAATACTCCAGTCTAGTATATACCCAAGTCAAGTATCAAACACGTCACTTTACATGTCAATACTCCAGTCTAGTATATACCTAAGTCAAGTATCAAACATGTCACTTTACATATCAATACTCCAGTCTAGTATATACCCAAGTCAAGTATCAAACATGTCACTTTACATATCAATACTCAAGTCTAGTATATACCCAAGTCAAGTATCAAACACGTCACTTTACATGTCAATACTCCAGTCTAGTATATACCCAAGTCAAGTATCAAACATGTCACTTTACATATCAATACTCAAGTCAAGTATCATTACTCAAGTGAAGTATCAAACACGTCACTTTACTTATCAATACTCAAGTCAAGTATCATTACTCAAGTGAAGTAGATACCCAAGTCAAGTATCAAACACATCACTTTACATATCAATTCTTCAGTCAAGTATATATACCCAAGTCAAGTATCAAACACGTCACTTTACATATAAACTCAAGTTTCCTCACCAAAAATTGAGGTACCTTACCAGGCATTTGGGCAAGACACCAGATGGTGGTATTTCTTATATAATCAACTCGATGGGGAACATGTCCTCTGACCTTAACATCTTGAAGAGATACAACAACACAAAAATAAGTATCAAAGCATTTAATGTCACATATCAAGACTCCAGTCAAGTATATACTTAAGTCAAGTATCAAACAAGTCACTTTACATATCAATACCCCAGTCTAGTATATACCCAAGTCAAGTATCAAACACGTCACTTTACATATCAATACTCAAGTCAAGTATATACCCAAGTCAAATATCAAACATGTCACTTTACATATCAATACTCAAGTCAAGTGTTTACCTAAGTCAAAAATCAAACAAGTCACTTTACATATCAATACTCCAGTCTAGTATATACCCAAGTCAAGTATCAAACACGTCACTTTACATGTCAATACTCCAGTCTAGTATATACCCAAGTCAAATATCAAACAAGTCACTTTACTTATCAATACTCAAGTCAATTATATACCCAAGTCAAATATCAAACAAGTCACTTTACATATCAATACTCCAGTCTAGTATATACCCAAGTCAAATATCAAACACGTCACTTTACATATCAATACTCCAGTCTAGTATATACCCAAGTCAAGTATCAAACACGTCACTTTACATGTCAATACTCCAGTCTAGTATATACCCAAGTCAAGTATCAAACACGTCACTTTACATATCAATACTCAAGTCAAGTATATACCCAAGTCAAATATCAAACAAGTCACTTTACATATCAATACTCAAGTCAAGTGTTTACCTAAGTCAAATATCAAACAAGTCACTTTACATAGCAGTACTCAAGTCAAGTATATACCCAAGTGTAATATCAAACACATCACTTTGCATATCCATACTCAAGTCAAATATATACCCAACTCAAGTATCAATTGAAACATGTCACTTTACATATCAATACTCAAGTCAAGTATATAGCCAAGTCAAATATCAAACACATCACTTTACATATCAGTACTCAAGTCAAGTATATAGCCAAGTCAAATATCAAACACATCACTTTGCATATCAATACTCAAGACAATTATATACCCAAGTCAAATATCAAACACGTCACTTTACTTATGAATACTCCTGTCAGATTTTATGGTAGATGCCAGATTATACTCTACATCTTAACACTCAAGTCAAGAACAAAAATATGCCATGTCCAGTCAGGTATTATGTTTGATGTCAAGTCATATATGCACAAAATGTAATCAAATATCTAGACAGAAATTTTAATTCAATACATGTCATGTCACTTATTTAAAGTGTCATCACCACACAACGAAAGGAGCAAAACAGAAAGGAGAAAAACAGATGTCAAATTGTTAATCACAACACAAGTAAGATGTTAAGGTACATTTAAACATCACTTTCACTGTGATGTCATTCCTTTGGGGGTCCAATATTATTTTGAGTCTCGTATTTGCTACTTTTTGTTTGCCTGTAGGATTTGGATTCAGGGAAGAGTGAGCTCTTTTGATAAGTGAGGGAAGAAAAGTCCCATGAAGAATTTATTGCTATGGTAACATTGTATCACCTTGTGGTGTATATTACTGATTACCGATCCTACCGTGGCTGACTGAATATCACGCTGCTGTTTAAAGAACAAATACCAGTGTTAGTATTACAATATATTAATCATTACATCTTAGATGAACCCAAATCATATACAGCTATCCATCATGCAAGGTTATTGAGTGTTAGCAGATCTTAATACCATCAAGTGACAAACATGAGGACAGGAAATTCAGCCTTTCCATGTTATGTAGGAGACAATCCTACCAAACTGAACTTGGTATATTCCATATACTATATATATTACTTATATTTCAATCAAATTAAAATATTGATAAATACCTGTATGTACCTTTAATAACTTAATAAAAAAAATGTCAAGCAATTTTGTTTTTAAATAGATATTTTGATCATCTAATTTATGTAAAATACAATGAACTTTCCTGAAAATTTGCTAAAATGGATAAGAATGGCAAAAACACAATATCTATACTGTCTATAATGTCTATACTGTCTATAATGTCTATACTGTCTATAATGTCTATACTGTCTCATTTATATGTTCCTATACTGTCTATACTGTCTCATTTATATGTTCCTATACTGTCTATACTGTCTCATTTATATGTTCCTATACTGTCTATACTGTCTCATTTATATGTTCCTATACTGTCTATACTGTCTCATTTATATGCTCTTCCTTACATTAACAATGTACGCATGTTCAAGTTATTTTATATAATTACCAGAGTGGCTGTCTGATGCATAATTTATAAACTTAATATTAAAATGTTTGTGTAACAAAGATTTGGTTTATGATATTGAAATGGAATATTCAATATTTTTTATGACATTATATGGAATTGACTATAGAAAACAAGGTATTTTAAAGAACCTTTCTGATTTAATCATACACTTGTTATTAATTATTTGACGCAATTAATCAAAACAAATATCAATCATATTATTACATTATCACACGTTAATTTGAATGATTAATTCTGAAATCAACATGGTGAGTTGTTTGTTTACATTTGTTGCTATGGTGAGTTGTTTGTTTACGTTTGTTTCTATGGTGAGTTGTTTGTTTACTTTGGTTACTATGGCTTTGGATGTCTGGGAGGTTCCATAGCATAAAGGAGGGTGTAGGAGACACACTTAGTCGACTTGGTAACTGAAACACACAAATTTTTATTGTTTTTTGGAAGTTAACTTTTTGTAACATGCTTTTTTTTCGAAACCACCATGAGTCTTGCATATCATTACTTTGATAATTGATAAAAATAGATTCAACTTTGTTTATAATTTAATATGTGCATGTTTTACGAATATAAGGTAATGAGATACAGTGTTAGGAGGGATACATTAAAACTTTATTTCAATTCAATATCAAGTCAGTAGTTTGATGTCAACTTTACATGGTGACAATAACAACAGTGTCTGTGCTTGTTAACGGGAACAGAATTGTACCTATATATAGCTAAGTGGCCTTCATCTTTGAAGGTCATCTGGATCGCCTTGACCTCTTAGAAGATTTTGGACGCTGGAATATTGGACATTCAAATCAATAAGAAAAAAAAAGTCACAGCAAAATTAAAAAACTTCAACTTTTGTACATCTGGCAACAATTGAAGCATTAGCCAGCAATATTGACTGCAGATGAGGCTGGTATTGTGTGCAGTATAATAATGATATGCTGCTTGTTGGAGTTTATATGAGGCATGCTTGTAGCTACATTTTGTGTGTGTGATGTGGCAACCAGTCACTCATTACTTACAGCATTCAGTTTGCCTTGGAATATAATATCACAAATCAAAAATCTACCTTCTGCATCAGATTTGAACATTTTATGGCAAAACTATCATTTTATAATGTATTCATCCACTTAATTTTGCCCTTTTCTGCAATTCAAATTTTCACTTTCTACTTTGTTGGAATATCATCAAAAAATGTACAGATGACTGTACCAGAAGTCAAACAACAAACCTTAACCATTTCATGATGGTTTACAATTAAAATTAACCAGAGGATCATACAAACCAGCATAATGGTTGGAGTCTTATACACTTGTATTTCTTTTAGCTCTAGGATACTTTGTAACAAATTTTTTATATTGTCAAGAGATTCTAGAGATGAGGCTGAAATTTCAAAAATATTACACACAACACACAGGTATCCACAATATTTCTCTGGGTCTTCACCTCACATGAACTAAAATTCGATAGTTATGAGTAAACTGACAAGGTCATACAGGGCCCTGTACTGTGCTTACATTAATAACCTTGAACTTTCAACTTTAAGCAGGTGCTATCAATATCTAGACTTCCATTTAATTGTATTGTGAATATGAAGCCAGCATGCTGATACAAACTCAAGTTCTGGTCTAAATGGGTTAATGTTGATCTTGACCTTTGACTGACAAAATCTTTAGATGGCTTTTTCAAAGAATCTTGACCTTTTATTAAGAGGCTCAAAATCTCTAGAATCTTACCACAGCATTTTCCACTTAAGTAGCATATATCAAGTCTTAAAGTTATAAAATGTTTAAGCTATTGCATCACTTTGGTCAATTTTGTAATCTCTGGCCTTGACCTTTGACGATGACCCAAAAAATAGCTGGTGTCCTCATTTATCCATTCTCCACTTATGTCTATACATTAAAATTTATCAAAGTTTTATCGAATAAATATGGTATGGACATATCAATTTTCTTCACTTTTTAACCTAGAGAGGTTCTAGCCAGAATATTTACAACAGGGCACCAGTATCTTTGAGGTTCTAATAAATGATTATCACACAATCAGCAACTTCTCAAAATTATCCAGATTCAAAATATTGATTTATCATCCTAGAAAAGGATAGCTCAATAGAGTAAAGCCTGAAAGTCTCTTGATGTTATTTTCCGAAGTTTGGCTATTTACAGCCTGTCTATAGGTCCTATGCTACCTATAAGATAAGACTTAGTTTACCTTTCTTTCAAGCTTGTGTGTGTGTTTTCTGTACACCTGAGATTTTATAATTCTACATTTGACTATCAAACTATCTATAGGACCTATGCTACCTATAAGATTAGACATGGTTTACCTTTCTTTCCAGCTTGTGTGTGTGTTTGCTGTACACCTGGGATTTTGTTGGATTAGGAGGATTTTGAGAGTAACACTTCATAAACTCCAAATAATGAAATCTACAAGAAAGAGTATACAAGTGTAATTACTGTATACAGTGAAATGTTCGCCCCCGTTTTATTTTCACCCCTTTCGTCCTAGACGCAAGTGGGCCAATTTAAGACGGGGTGAATTCAAAGAAAAAAGTATAATTTCTTAAATAAAAGTGTGACTGGGCGAATTTAAAACGGGGCAAAATTGTCTGCAAGTGTGATAGGGCGAAAATAACGTGGGGCGAAATTAACCCTGTATTCAGTAAATATAATGAAAAAAAAACTGGTATCTCTGTCAAGAAACGTGAATATTTTTATTGTTTAGAGACATGCAAATTGTCTTTCAAAAACCCTATAAGATTACACTTTTCTGAGTATATATGTAACATCATTGAGAAATAGTTTGAGTCTCTAGTTTGTTACAATAATTTGAGATATAAATATTTGTGTTACCTCCCATTTCGTTGTATGTCAAATCGTTGACAGAGCTCTCGCTTCTCTTCCTCAGACAACGGAAACTTCATGGTGTTTAAAATTTCCTGGAAAAACGTGAATTCAAAACATCTGTTTACCAGCATAAGGAAATTTAAAATTTCTTTAATTGTATAAATGTGCAATGTAAAAGAGTATCAAATTATCAAAGCATGTAGATGTTAACTTTTGATCAATCAACATCTATACATTTCTACATACATAACTTTTCTATTTTGACAAACCTTCATGTCCGATATTGATATTGTAGAACTACCATTTTTGTCAATAAATTTGAAGACGGTCTTTAATCCTTCCCAATTCCCGATCACCTTAAAAAGTAAAGAATTTTTATTTAATATCATTAAACATACAATATTGACAAAATGAAACTTATGTTTGTTATAAGGTTGACCAACATAGAGCTCTCTTAATGGGACCAATTCCACTTACAGCGTATGACCTAAAATTTTTCTGAGACAATCAGATGACCTCGATTCAGGGTCATGACACATACACCAGTTAAGGTCAGATAGGGGTTGTTCTCAATGGCAAAACTAGGTACTTCAAATCAATGATCCTGACTTCTTCAAATGACCTTCAAGTTGGTTTACTTTCATTATACACTCAAGGATCATAAACACCCTCCATGTCAAACTTGCAGGGAGGGGCTTAATTAAGAGACTTTTACACTTAAAATCAAATGACCTTAGATTAAATCTGACTCGTAATTCAAATTTGATCAAATAAGAGGGGTTTTTTTAACCTCAGATCTTTTGTGGAAAGCAACTAGCATTTTAGAGAATCTCCACTCTCACCTGAGTCTTTATTTTGTTCAGTAGATCTCGAGTTTTCTGGCTTTTATTGGACAGTGCAGTCTGTGGCGGCTTATCTTGTACCACACCATTAACTTTCATGGTTTTTGTGGTGGTCTCTGCAGCAGACACCACCTCGGTAGTTTTAGTGGTAGTTTTGCTGGTGGTCTGTTCCCCATTATTAGTCGTAACGGTGGTGGTGTTGTGCTGTAGAGATGACATGGTCTTCTCTCGTCTTTCTCTCTGGACTCTCTTGGCCGTTTCTATTAATTCCCTCGTGTCACTTACTGTAACAGCAGTGATCAACAAACATTTTATTTTTTGTTTACTTTTGTTAAAGAATACAATTTATCTTTGATTCACATATATACGAAATCAAATAAAAAACAATATGTATGGGGATTAATTCATATGTTTTGATGGGAAAAGAAACAAATAAATCATAATTATACATATAATTATTAATTTTATTTTTTAATCTTCATGTTGCGACAGACAGCATCAACAGCTGACTGAAGGGTTTTTTGGTTCCTTTTTGTTTTCTGTTTTAAACAAAAGCCTTGATTTAGGATATGTATATGCATCTTTTATTTTAACCTACCATCAGTTTGGTCACGTTTCATGTCCTGACTGGCCCTGTTCTGAGCAAATGCCTTGATTAACGACTTGTAGCTGTACATTCCATCAGCAGAAATGTTCAGTCTGGCCCACACTCTGTCAAGTTCAGAGTTTGTTAGGTTTACTCCTGACCTATAATCATATATAACATATTTATATACCACAGATGTAAAAGCATTGTTTGCAGAGCAATCGGCAAAATATTACAATAAAAACTAGGCCTGGGTCACAACTCTGATTCATGTATGCTTCACAAGAGCATTAAATCTTGCTTATATGTTAGCCTCACACTTTTCAAGGAATAAATTGCAAGAAATGTTATTATTTTTTCCAAACATCAAATAAATTTCAAAATTTTTGAAGAATTTGTCCATAGAAGAATAGAGAATTGGTTTTTCAAGTTATTACAGAAATTAATATTTACAGTAGCTGGAGAGCACCAAATTCCCATTTGCTTATTCTGCATGTCTTACATCAGTCAGGCTGCTACATGAGTTATAAAATTTACAATTATAAATTGATAAACTTACAATCGTAGGAGAGCCCCAAACTGCCACTTGCTCATTCTGCCCGTCTTTCGACGATCCATATCCTGGAAGTGCTGGAATCGATGATAAAAGACAGCATTATTTACAATTTTCCCAAGCATTCATGACAGAATTCATGTGTGGATATTTTGGTACAGAAATAAACTTTAAGGGTATTATTAACATGAAGAACTAATGATTGATACCGGTACATCTCACATATCCACCATCCAAGGAACATCCTACATGAAAACTATTCATTAAAATTCAAAGCTTAATGTGGATTATAATGAAGCTAAGGCTGAATAAAGAGAAACACAGAGACCTTATAACATGTTGTAATTGGACATTCAATGAAAAGAGTTCAAGATCCAAGAGCAAACTTACAGTCAGAGATGTAAAACATTTAGGGAGCTTTAACAATGCCATTTCTGATTCAATATCTTAATGTTCAAATGGGTATATTGTTGCCTTTTGTCCACAATTGAAATGCATGTGCAATAAATCCATAATTAATATTTGAACACCAATCCATGATTAGTGATGTACAATGTAACAATAATAATCAGGTTAGATACACATGAATAACAATAGCCTTCATATTACCTGTGGTTAAATACACATAACAATAAATATCCTACCTTGTCAAATGTGTGGAATCTATTGCGGAAAAGATCTTCTAATATCTTCATCACCTACAATGTACCATTAGAGTCAAGAAATGAAAAGTAGAACCTAATTATTGCCCTACAATTTTATACCAGCTTCATAATCAACAAAATGAGAGAGGACCCTTAACCTATAACCTCTGTCATTAAATGTGTAACACATACTCAATGTATAATAGTTAAAGCAAAATATGACCTCTGACCTACACAAACAATAGTGGATTAACTCAGCATTGAATACATGATCCATGAATCTCTTGATTTCCAGTGTCAGAGCATTTAAAAATTAAAATGTAAGATTACAATAGAATGCATAAAAATACTTGAAAGCAGATACTTAAAAGCAGATAAACTGTGCAGTAAACCATATTAATAACAACTGGTGATCACACGTAATATAAATGTATAGTTTATAACACAGTGTTTTAATGTTAGGAACTGTGTGAGGTTTAAATATACAAATCTACCCTTATTTGTCTCCATGGTGATACAAACATGAGCTGAATGAGGTTTGAATTAGAAACATACCATTATCCTAATCCATAGAAAGTTATAAAATGTTACGTAGTGGGGATCTTAATTATGTGTGTTATTTAGTTAAGTGCAAAGTTTCAATCAAACATGCAGCATTTTATATACCTCCCCTGCGGAACACTGAAAACCAAAATCGGTCAACATATTTATTAAATGCACAAAATAAAGAAATACATAAATCCAAAATAAAGCCATGTCATGTTTACATATGCCCTGTTACAAATGTATGTCTTAAATGTGCCAAAGAAATCTTTCATAGGTTAAACAACAATAGTATTAGCAACTAACAAAAAACAACTCAAGGCTTAATGATAGTGTGTGAGAAGAAGTTAGGCTACAAACAGAAAATACTGAATTACTGATAATAAACCCCCTCTCCATGAATAACAACTTGTAGATATAAATCTGATGGTTGTTCTGAGGTGATATACACTCTACCTAAAATTATACCTGACACTGAGACCCTCCACCTAAACTATTCCTTATATGGAATACCTAACACTTCCATCAATATCAGTCTAGATGGTAGATCTTAGAACCTCCATCAGGTCTGTGATGGCAGATCTTAGAACCCCCATCAGGACTGAGATGTTGGATCTTAGAACCTCCATCAGGCCTGAAATGGCAGAACTTAGAACCTCCATAAGGCCTGAAATGGCAGAACTTAGAACCTCCATCAGGCCCCAGATGGCAGATCTTAGAACCTCCATCAGGTCTGAGACGGCAGATCTTAGAACCTTCATCAGGTCTGAGATGGCAGATCTTTGAACCTCCATCAGGTCTGAGATGGCAGATCTTAGAAACTCCATCAGGCCTGAGATGTTTAATCTTAGAACCTTCATCAGGCAGAGATGGTAGATCTTAAAACTTCAATCAGGCTGAGATGGTAGATGTTGTAACTTGTTCAGCACTGAGCTGACCTTTTACCTCCGTAAGTACTGAGGTGATAGACCCTCCATCCCTTCTAGAGGGTGCATAACATTATCATGTAATCTACTCCTGCTTTTTGAAATTGTTATGAAGTGTAAGAATGAATGACTAACATCTGTCAGCTATTGTTCTGACATTGTCCTGAGGTGGAAAGCCCTTAACTGTTATGAAGTGTAATAATAACGTACATCAGCTATTGTTCTGACATTGTCCTGAGGTGGAAAGCCCTTAACTGTTATGAAGTGTAATAATAACGTACATCAGCTATTGTTCTGACATTGTCCTGGGGTGGAAAGCCCTTAACTGTTATGAAGTGTAATAATAACGTACATCAGCTATTGTTCTGACATTGTCCTGAGGTGGAAAGCCCTTAACTGTTATGAAGTGTAATAATAACGTACATCAGCTATTGTTCTGACATTGTCCTGGGGTGGAAAGCCCTTAACTGTTATGAAGTGTAATAATAACGTACATCAGCTATTGTTCTGACATTGTCCTGGGGTGGAAAGCCCTTAACTGTTATGAAGTGTAATAATAACGTACATCAGCTATTGTTCTGACATTGTCCTGGGGTGGAAAGCCCTTAACTGTTATGAAGTGTAATAATAACGTACATCAGCTATTGTTCTGACATTGTCCTGAGGTGGAAAGCCCTTAACTGTTATGAAGTGTAATAATAACGTACATCAGCTATTGTTCTGACATTGTCCTGAGGTGGAAAGCCCTTAACTGTTATGAAGTGTAATAATAACGTACATCAGCTATTGTTCTGACATTGTCCTGAGGTGGAAAGCCCTTAACTGTTATGAAGTGTAATAATAACGTACATCAGCTATTGTTCTGACATTGTCCTGGGGTGGAAAGCCCTTAACTGTTATGAAGTGTAATAATAACGTACATCAGCTATTGTTCTGACATTGTCCTGAGGTGGAAAGCCCTTAACTGTTATGAAGTGTAATAATAACGTACATCAGCTATTGTTCTGACATTGTCCTGAGGTGGAAAGCCCTTAACTGTTATGAAGTGTAATAATAACATACATCAGCTATTGTTCTGACATTGTCCTGAGGTGGAAAGCCCTTAACTGTTATGAAGTGTTATAATAACGTACATCAGCTATTGTTCTAACATTGTCCTGGGGTGGCAGACCCTCTACTTCTGTTTGGGGATGCATGAATGTCTTGGCTTTCTCTTTGAGTCTATCGACAGCAGACGAGTGGACCATTGTGGTGGGTATCACCTGGTATACATCTAGTCCTCCTTCCTGTCGTCTGTTCCAGGATCCAGGTCTGTAAACAGTTTATAAGTCACTGATGATGTTATACATACTACTTGAGATTACTATCACAATCATAAATATAGAAAAGGATATCAAGCAACAGTCTCCAACAAAAACTTTTCAATGAACAGATGAACTTTGGTATCTTGAAATTCAATATCTTGAATATCATGGATACGATACCCACCACATTTTTAATGTTTCATGTTACCATATATCTTGTCATGCATACAATATCATGTGTGAATCCTATTGTATCATATGTGTAACCCATCAATCATGTATCAAGTGTAATGTTACATGTACTGTAAGTCAAAGTTTGAAATTCCAACCAACCTCAATATTTTGAATTCTTGGATATCTCTGATTTTTTACTCAACCCCCTAAAGCTTTGATTTAATGAGGTTTGACTGTAGCTGTATGTGGTATGAGACTACTTTACTTTGGCCTTAAAAATTAGTAACTTGGTTCTCAGATCCACGTGCATCTTATTTTACAATGAGCATTACTATTTTTATCCTCAAATGAATAAAATAACATTTCTCTCATGTGCTCCTACGGTGCAAAAAAAACCCGGAATCCACCAACGCATTTTAACCGCATTTTAGATACTCCCATCAGTAAAAGGTTTGGCAAACATCAAGATGATCCAGACTAGTGGCCTATTTAATGCCCTGTTCACACAGAGAGTTTAATTCGCAGTAAATTAATGCGAAGTAAAATGATGAGAATTAAACTAATGCGAATTAAATTGCGTTCACACGACAGCTAATGCGAAGTAAACTAATGCGAATTATAATTTTATTTATTCAACAAGGCTATTCAGTGAAGCTATTATGACGACATTTACAAATCACGTCATATTGTGCAGAGCAGTATACATTTGACATAATGCATAGTGTCTGTACACATTTTAGTGATTAACATAATTTTCCTTTGTTTTCCACTCAAAAATTGCACAGGTACCTATATTTGACCATCGACATGTGGCCTGTGACTTAATTCTGCCCTTACGCATGCGTCAAAATTTAATTCGAATTAGCTTCGCTTAGCGTTCACACGGAGCTAATGCGAAGTAATTTAATGCGCAGTAAACTAATTCAAATTAAATTAATTCGCATTAAATTCTCCGTGTGAACGCAGATCAAATTTAATTCGCAGTAACTTACGTTTAATTCAAATTAAACTCTCCGTGTGAACAGGGCATAAAAATTATCATAAAAATGACCTCGAGTTAAGAGGTCAACGTGTCAAGAATAAGGTTGGTCATGATGGCATTGATTTCAGTGCAAATTCATAAGGGAATAACTGCAATACTTCCATGATGGCACATAGTTGGGGTTTCTGAAGATTGTTCCATGCTAGGACTCAATAACGCTATCAAAGACAGCTCCTTCAATCTCAGAACGTTGCCAGAAAAGCTTCAGCAAGATTCTCTGATTTCATTTAGCATGTGTAAACCAAAGACCAATAAATTTGACAATGTTTAATAAAACCATAAGTCCTAATTACAGTGCTGAAACACTCTTAGATTAATTGTGATACGTAAACAATTGACCAGATGCATCACTAAAAGTGTTGGGTTCTGCAAGTTTAACACGTCTGGTTGTTAGGATGCAGTCGTTTCATTACACGAATCATCGGAATGTAGAAGATGCAAGAGAAAAGAGAAAGAAGCAGGAAATAAATTATCTTGATTCTACATTCAGTGTTGAAGCACTGTTGATTAAAAGTTGCTAGTTTTGAAATTTAAAAATAAATCAAAAATTGAACATCTGTTTTTATGAGGTAAAAAGGAAAAACAAAAGTCTCCCTCTCGCAATTATTTTTGAGAAAACTGGCCTGAGAACCAAGTTATTAATTTTTTGAGGCCTTATGTAACAATATACATCTGTAGGAAGTTATTGTAAGGAATCAGTCAGGTCTAGGGTGAGGCTAGTCTACTTACGGAACATCAAACATCTGTAGGAATTTACTGTAAGGAATCAGTCAGGGTTAGGGCGAGGTTAGTCTACTTACGGAACATCAAACATCTGTAGGAATTTACTGTAAGGAATCAGTCAGGTCTAGGGTGAGGATAGTCTACTTACAGAACATCAAACATCTGTAGGAATTTACTGTAAGGAATCAGTCAGGGTTAGGGTGAGGCTAGTCTACTTACGGAACATCAAACATCTGTAGGAATTTACTGTAAGGAATCAGTCAGGGTTAGGGTGAGGCTAGTCTACTTACGGAACATCAAACATCTGTAGGAATTTACTGTAAGGAATCAGTCAGGGTTAGGGTGAGGCTAGTCTACTTACGGAACATCAAACATCTGTAGGAATTTACTGTAAGGAATCAGTCAGGGTTAGGGCGAGGTTAGTCTACTTACGGAACATCAAACATCTGTAGGAATTTACTGTAAGGAATCAATCAGGGTTAGGGTGAGGCTAGTCTACTTACGGAACATCAAACATCTGTAGGAATTTACTGTAAGGAATCAGTCAGGGTTAGGGTGAGGTTAGTCTACTTACGGAACATCAAACATCTGTAGGAATTTACTGTAAGGAATCAATCAGGGCTAGGGTGAGGCTAGTCTACTTACGAAACATCAAACATCTGTAAGAATTTACTGTAAGGAATCAGTCAGGGCTAGGGCGAGGTTAATCTACTTATGGAACATCAAACATCTGTAGGAATTTACTGTAAGGAGTCAGTCAGTGTTAGGGTGAGGCTAGTCTACTTACGGAACATCAAACATTGTAAGGAATCAGTCGGGGCAAGGCTAGTCTACTTATGGAACATCAAACATCTGTAGGAATCAGTTAGGGTTAGGCTTCGTACTTACGGAACGTCAAACATCTGGAGGAATTTATTGTAAGGAATCAGTCCATCACTGTCCTGTCCCACGTCAGTCTTGAGTTGTTCCCATTGTTTCTCAGACATAGGGTATCCCAGACGTTTCTCTATACCACTACGAAACTCATGTGGTGTTATAACACCCAGGCCATACTTATCACAGGACCTTTAAGAAGATAAAAAATATTTATTTCACTTATAAAAAATACATATATACTATATACTACAAAATGTCATCCTGATACTTACTTGAAATAGCCTATAAGTTTGAGGAAATCCCCATGCAGTAAATCGACCAATCGGATATCAAGTTGTTCGGAGGTTAAGGTGTTTTTTGGAAGGGGCCATGAGGGCAATTTGTTATCCTGGAATCTGAAAATGCAGGAATTGGTTTTTATTTATGTGTACATAAGAGATGTGCATGACATTCTTGAAAAAAAAAGATAAAAGTACAGAAAAGTAAAGGTGATGCACCATGCTGTTATATATAAGACTCAGTGCTGCAACGCATGTATTATGTTGACTGGTTCTCTCATATAACCACTGGTTCTGTGATTCTTAATCTTGACTTGTTTTTTTATTGTTCCTCAATATTTATTATGTTAAGTTATACTCACTGTTGACTGGTGGCCACTTTATTAGTGATGCTGTTTTCAGATTTACTCTGGAATTTGTTCAGGAACTCTTTGTAGTTGACCTGACCTCGAATTGTTCTTACACCATGTCTGTGAAAAGCCCAAAATTGACATTAATAAAACAGAGATAATTCTCCATTATGAAATTAAGTTACAATTGTGGCATCTAATTGAAGCTAATAGTCATCATTTTAATTAATTATCAGAATGTAAATATCATTTATTCATTGTTACCATAACTTCAAGGAAGTTCTTATAGGTCATGCACTTTGGGAAAAAAGTCTACATCTAAAACTATTGAACCTATAAAATTGTTAACCTTGTAAAATTCAATTTTCATGACAATTATGTATATACTGATTCATACTAATTGCTTTCCTTACCCTGCTAAGAAATTATCAAGGTCAGTAACTGAGATATTAAGACCAAACTCCTGCAGAACTCGGCGAAAGTCTACTCTTGCAATGTAGCCATCACTCAAGTAATCAAAAAGATCAAAGGCAGCCAACATCGCATTGTACGACTCCTCAAACTGAAAGATGAGTGAAATGGCTGACTGTTTAAATATGCTCAGGATGATATTAAATAACAAGACAAAATGAAAAGACGCAAAAAAAATAATAATAAAGATAATGTGTGTAAAATTATAAAGTACACAGTAGCTAAAATATAAACATCAATGGTCAACAGGTGATTCTACATTATAACTTCAGAATCTGTATATAAACAGGGAAAAACTGTATCTAGAGCTTTATGAAAGCAGGCTCTGAACCTATGTCATAGAACTAGAAGAAATTCTCAAACATAGTAATGGGTTTTATCACTGGTTCATTTAAAACCACGTCAAACTACAGAAATGCTGATACACTGGGTCTTTCTAATTATAAACATTACAGGGTTCTCACACCAGGTGCACTTTTTGGGAATGGGGCTGAGGCCGTAAAGATTGGGAAAATAATGACCTTTTGAAAATTTTTGGGATAACCATTTTACTTTAAAATCATGATATATTGGGTTTCTGGTCTTTGTTATCAACTAAATTTTTGTTTTTCAGAACAGAAGAATATGAATGGCAAGTTTAGTTACTATATATCCAACTATATTTTCTTAAATTTTTGGGAGTAATGACTATTGGGAAAATGAACACTTTCAATTGGGAAAAAAAAGGTACCTTTTTAAATTGGACTCTTGAATGGCCCCAATTATAGACAATTGAGAGCCCTGCATTAAAAAAAAAAAAACTCAGATTGACCTGAACTAATAAAAGATCAGCCTAGGAAAGTACTGTTACTTGTAAAAATGAATGTTTTTCACTGGTATGTCATTCTAACAAATCAAAGTTGTTTTCCTGTTCACTTATCATGCTAATTGGTAAACTCCATGAACTTATTATTTTACTCTCAAGGAAAAAAAAATTATATGGAATAAATTTAATAACTACCCAAATTATACTTGTAAACAAGATTCTACAAGTAAAACCTGGGTTAAATTAAGAAACTAAATTCATTTCTTTGATAGTTTCCACAACTATCTTTTTTTCCACTTAGGTCCTGTCTAATACACATCAAAACACAATATTCATCCAAGCAAATGGTTCAGATTTTATTGAGGGGTATAATAAAGATGATTCCGAAGTCACATGGCTCATTGTTGGTCTATTGGAGGATAGATGTTGGTCTATTGGACGATAGCTGTTGCTCTATTGGAGGATAGATCAATGTTTTTACATGAGGGTTATCATACAGAAAAAAAATTGCTCTGGGTCTAATAATCCTCATTGTAAATTCTCTTAAACACTGACTAAGATGATATTATTCTTACTACACCTAAGCTATGTACTTCAGACAGGTCAAACAGTGACAGAATAGATTTTTGCTACCAATTCCATGTTTTTCCTGATGACTCAAAATATATGTACCTCATAGTGGTCAGTTACAGACCGTGTGATGGACAGGGAGGTCTTACTCCGGACATGGGCAGACCTGGGTCGCCCTCGTTCCTCCCTGATGCCCATTGAAGTGTGACAACGAAATTCAGTGCTTGTCGTAGTGGTGCGCTGATGCATGGCCTTGGAAAATCCCACAATCTCCATCATATTGACTAGGAATTTATCTCTCAGATTCAACACTTACTTATTCTGTTGATTAAATATCCTTTGATACGATCCCCTTTCCTACCTTCCAACACTTTGTAAATATGTGCACACCACTTTTCAATATTTCTATTCCAGGTCCATATATATATATTAGGAAATCACAAAATTTAATGAAACAAATCCACGAAATAACTTATGTGACCATTGTGATGTTGTTTTCATAATGGAGTGATTCGGGTCATTATAAACTGTACACAAAATGTTAACTCGTTCCACTCCTGTTAAACACACATACCCAAACACCAAGTTACTATGCCTATATAAACATTGATTTTCTCTGAGAAGATCAATCTAAAAATTCCACAACCTGGCATTTAATGTCATATCTTCTAACACTCTTCACTTTTAAAGTCCAGGGAGGGCTTTAAATGACCCGGAACACTGAACACCGAGTTTCTACCTCTACCTGTCTTTACCTGAGACAGGTGAGATTATTTACACCTGTTGCTATGATGCTGGGAAAGTCCTCTCTGATGCCACATAGAGAAAATTGATTTATCTGTATAAACATGCCATCTACAGAGCTGTGTGATGTAAAAAACCTAGATGTCTTCATTAGTTCTGAGAATGTCACCATATTGTAACCATTTCTTTACAACTTTGAACTATCCATTTACAGTGACTCAAATAAAAGACTAAAAGAAATTTAAATGCTTTCATACAAATTTCTCATAAAGTTGTACGTATCAGATTTCAGTCTGAGTATTACTTAAAAAAGAAAAATCCTTTTAGATGTTACTGGCTTTAAATTTTTTTATGTTCCATTTAAAAAAAAGATTTCTTTTTTTAACACATTATCAAAATATTTTTCAAAAGTGTCAAGACGGTATTTTTGAACTAGCTGCAATGAACTCTTTTTCTTTAAAATAATTTTCAAAGTGTTCTTATACTAGTGTATAGTCAAACACAAATTTCAATTACATGTATTACTGCAGAATCACAAATTTTTGTGGGGATAAAATTTTGTTGATTTGTCATCTATAAAGGTTTCGTGTGCATTAAATTTCATTGTTTCAAAAGTAACCCTATTCCATATATAGTCGTATAAAAATTTCATGTGGGATTTAATTTCGTTGCTAATTGTTAACAACAAAATAAACAAAATTTAATCCCCAACAAATATTTCTGCTCTTACAGTAATTAAATTGGTCTTGACTGCATAAAATTTAAATAAAAAAGGTACTCCTTTGAAAGGATAACATACTGCAGCAAATTTTATTTCATAGCAAGCTCTTGAGCCAGAAATTCCTTTTTTTAATAATTGACAAAATAACCTGTTAACATCCGCAGAAGTTAATTTCTTTGGATAATCTCCATCCTTAACTACGCTTTCTGCAATCTGTTTTTGTATATAAGTCAGGGTTATTTATCTTTATGTGCTGGGTATGAAGATTCAAATATGGCATCCCTGATGGTAATCAAAATACAGTACCAGAGTTTACACTTCCATAAAGCTTCCATACAGATCTCTAACTTAAGAGAAACAACGAAAAACATCAAAACATCCATAAGAGAAAACAGACCTGAGACTCAGATTTATTGTTTATACTTCCAATAAACAGGAACATTTCTATGGGGTTTTTTATAATCATTATAATTATCCTTCAGAATAAAACAGTCAATCTGACTGGTTTAGAGCATGTCACAATGTCATGCAGGGATACAATTTGTGACGTCTCTCTCAGGTGCAGGGTGACAAATGTGTTGTCTCCCTTCAGATGAAAATAACTCATATATATAACTGCTATATATATGTTGGACTGGTAAACAATAAACTCTAATGGTGATGTCAAAGTTGTCTGTTGACATATTTTGAAAGTATGGAATCAGAGCAGTGGGTAGAACACAAGACCCATTTTCTCTGCTATTTTCTACTCTATTTTATTTAATTAGATTCTTCAGAATAACAAAACTATTATGAACTGTTTAGAAAGAAAACATAAGAGAAATTATCAGGTCTGAGTAGGCAATGGTAGGGTTGTCAGGTTCAGGGAAAATTTTGATTTCACAGTGAATATTTTTTGTCCATAATTAGAGCTTTTTGTCAGTAATCTCAAGTCGGCAACACACTGGCTTAACTTTCGACATGTGATAAATTCAAGAGATAAATGTTTTTGTTTTTTTATTGTTACCACATCTTCTGTCCACATGTATCATACACAAATGACAACCTCAATATATTATTAGTATCTTTCTGAGGCACTTGTCTGAATCCTTATAATTGCTAAAGAATTCACATCATAAAATTCAGAACATATCCTGGAAGAGTAATTTCCAGAGTTAAATCTGTAAAATGTATTTCAAAGTAAAATCTTGGACAGCTAATTTTCCCTATCCAGATGCAGTGTGATAGAAGAAACTTGCTTTTTCAAATTTTAAAAAATACTCATATTCTGAATTATTTTAAAACATACATGTTCTCTTACATATGTTTTATCTGTGCTTAAAAAATCCCATTATGGACAGAGTAATGGGCCTGGAAACATGGAGAATTAAAACTCCACTTAGAGACTAGGGCATAGCATTTGTCAATCAATACCTCTAAAATAAGGTAAGAAACCTATGATGTAACTGCTTTAAGATATGTGGGACATTCTAAATAAAAAATATAAAAAATATGAAAAATTGAATGACAAGTATTTTTTCAGCTCAAGGTCCTTCTTCCCCTTAATGCTTCTTAATGTACTTAACATACATTTGACAATGTGCTTATCTTTACTCCATTCCCAGTGCCCTTGTTCTAAATCTCTCAATAACAACCCTTACCCTGTAATGGAGGCAGTCTATGATGTTCTCCAGTTTCGGCTGAACCTTCTTCTTACGACTGATGTTGATTTTGATATCCTCATTCTTGTCTGGTGCCCCCGTGTCTTTACTGGTATCTGCCACTTTTTCTTTGCCTTCTATTTTTTCTGTTGCTTTATCTGTGTTGACTTCTGTCTCGTTCTGTGTTGTTGTATTCATTTCCTGTTTAGTGTCCACTTCCTGTTTGGAGGGGGCGACATTGGCCTCAGATTTAGGTCTGATCTTGAGTTCTACAACCGTCTTGCTGCGATGTGAGTAGGTTTTTGGTCGAGTATCGATGCCAGCTCTCTTCAGAAATAAACTGGTTCTTATGGCTCCTAAGCCCTCCTTGTCATATCTAACAATAAACAACCAGTTCAATAAGCTTACTTTATTTTCAGAGCAGTGTCTTTGTACTAAACAGTTATCATATATTTAGCCCTTTATGCAGTGAATATCAATCACTGAATAAATTTTTCATAATTTGTAAACATCGCCTCATCACCCAGTATCCGCTGAGAATGTAAGTTTTCATTGTTAGCACACTGTGAGGATTACGATCCACTTTTATAGTAAGTCTTTTACAGACACAAGTGATTAGAAATCACTTACTTTATCAATGGTATAAATATACAAAGACCATAACCATTTCAACAGTAGGTAATACACTGAAACCATTACAATATCTACAGCTCTATAATTGTTGTCATAGTGATGCAGAGAAAGGAGCTGCATTGCTATTGTAATACTTTTGCTTTAGTGATATAGAAAGGCCACCCACCGTTGCCATAGTGACATAAAGTCTGCATCCTTCATGAAGATTCCCAGCTGAGCGTGTGCCTCCCTGAGCTGTGGGGGTACAATCCTCCCGTTGGCCTGGAAACATGCCGGAGGGAAAATCTGTCGTGCATCCTCTCTGAAACACACAAGAAATCATTAAAATTGATATGAAGCCTAACCCTAAGCCAGGAAACATGACCCATAGGTTCAAGGTTTTCACTACCCTAAGTCAGGAAACATGACCCATATAGGTTCAAAGTTTTCATCACCCTCAGCCAAGAAACATGACCCAAAGGGACAAAGATTTCACAATCATAGTAAAGGTCTCATAATTTGTTGCTTTTCTGTAAACACTTTGTCTGCAAAATGTTTAGAAATGGCTTTCAGAATTATCTACAATTATGATCAATAAGCCTTTCACCTGGCTTGACTGCATATTTTCTCATTACATAGTTTTTCCACTAGATCTCAAGAAGGAAATCTTTAAAAATGTAAATAATGCAATTTCAGTTTCTGATCAATTAAGCCTAAGACTGGGATATGAACCCGAATTGAATCCTTAGATACCAAACACGTCATTTAAGTAAAGCACTTAAATTTGTTAAATATATTCAGGCAAAATGTTGTAAGCAAGACTTCCATTGGTTAGATGAAAATTTCAAATTTTTCCCCAAGTGGTGTAGTGCATAACTTAACTCCTTATTGAAAAGTGTTGAATACATGTACTTACATACTGCATATTTTTCCTTGATATTTATACTGTACTTACATATTGCATATTTTTTCTCTAAACAGTGTATCTGCGTAAGGTGCGGACAGGAAGGGGTCGGTTACGATGACGTCTGTTCGTCTCAGTTCAGCTTCGGGGTAGTGTCGAGTCTTGTCCATCTCGAGTTTCATTGATGGACTCACCCACTCCTTTTGTACAGTCTACAGTTGTAAACAATACAACAATACTCAGTTACTTCATAAACAGTGTTAAACATCAATTCTAAATGGTCTTCTTACAACAGTAATAAAAACCTTTCCTCTGGAATCAGTTTTATAAAAACAAAGCAACCAATATGCCCAGGACTACCACACTTGATTAATTTGATTAACAAGTGAAAGGCAACTAATTCTGCAGTTATGAATTGCAAAGCAAAAATTCCTTTAGAATTTTAGATGAATTTATCCATTGTCAATCGCTGATAACAGATTTTTTCCACAGGATTATTATTATTATGAATTTAAAATGTAAAGGCATACTTTACTTTGTGAATATTGGAGACTCAGAAGATAAAGAAACAACACATACAGTGACTTTTTTTTTAAAAGAAAAAAGGATAACATATTAGTTTTTAAGAAAAAATTGAGTACAGGAATGATTTAGAAGGGTGTGTTGTTGGTGAATGTGGTCAAATAAGCCATTTTTTCTACTCTGCTACAACAACACCAACATGATCAAACAGTCTATAAGCCACATTATACTGTAGATCACCTGATTTTCGTGACACCTTATTTTTTGCGAGATTGTTGTACGATATTTATCTGCAAGACTAAATTTTCAGGAATTTGGATAACTGTTGTATAATATAATCTTGAAGAATGGAAATATATGTGAGAATGCAAATATTGTAAGCTGGCAGTCTCGCACAATTATGCAAAAAATAAAGTTCGCACAAATAGAAAGTAATTTACAGTAAGCAGCTAAGTACATGTATAGGGAAAAAATAAGCAGAGGACTGGATACCAAGCAAAGGGAACCAGTTAAAAGGCATCAGAAAGAAATGAAACATGATAAATATTGGATTTTGAAGCTGAATGTTAACAAATTAATTCTTCGAAGATATTAAACATGTTAAAATTTGAGAAAAATCCCCCCCGATTTTCTCAAAGTGAAAACATCTCTTTAATTAAGGATTCAAATTTTCTTTTTTCATAATCAGAAAGTCTGGGATGGAGTACTGATTGAATTCATTGTGTGTTGTTTATAATGTCCCATTTGAGAATTTTTCATGCATACAGTGACGTCACCAGCTTTAAGTGGAGTGCCACAAATTTTGACCTATGCATGGCACTTACACTGTATCAGTGAGGGATATCTTTATTGTGCCAATGGTTACTGTGACATTGGACTTCAATTTTTAAGGTCTCATACGAAAGACCCATGACTTTCACTCTTAGTGCCGGGAACTTGGAAAATGAACAGTCACTAACTATGTTAAATGTCTATAAGTTTGATGCGGCACCAGGAACAATAATTGAGCCCCGATTGACAAAATTTTCATCAACAAACTTCTGTCATAGATATAGCTTCTAAACATCCATTTTTACCAGATATAACATCTGACAGGTTTGTGATATGTTATTTCCTGCTCAGTTTCACATCTAACTTCTACACGGCAGCCATTGTCTACAACATGATTTCAGAGATTATGATGTCACAATGACTACGTTAGGCACATCCCCACCCCCTCCTAAAATAAAATTTTATTTATATCAGTGATAAACATTAATGAATTTAATCAGTTGTGGTGCATAAAATGCAAGGCATAGAACTCATATGATATTTAACAAAAACTATTACCCTGTCTGACAGTACTGTTATTCTGTTACACTGGGGGCTGTTTAAGCTGTTACAGATTTCCACATTTTAAATTAAAGATGGGATAAAGGTGTTTCATCACTTAACAGTTAACAACACCAAAATGAGGCTCTATCACCATGGTAACACAACATATCCCAGAGTTCCAAACTTACCAGGCGAGGTAATCGTCTCTTTACAACCTTACAGAAGACATTTATAATTTAATTGAAAGTCCTCTGGACACTTACATCATGAGGAACTAAATGACTGATACACATGATCTGACATTATACACTGTGTCTTTACACAAATGAGTGAAAGCATTTAGCATGCTTTCCATTTACACCCTATATAATCCTAAGTTTTCCACTGTGATTCTACTACTGCCTCAGTTGTCAGATAACAGAAACTGGTAGGTACCTGTGCCTCTATGGTGAATTCTATCCATCTTATTTAAAATTGCTGAGTTTATTTTCATATAGTAATTTTACTGCAGACAAAAATTCCAGCAAGCATTTTAAAGGGTTCTTAGTATGCATACAAACTTAACTTTAACATGATTAAAATTAAAAATTTTATTAAAACTTCTGAATTTAAATCACAATCTTTTAAATATAACTATCTGAAATTGTGATAATGTTTTATTAATTTTATTTAAATCTTCATAAACAATGAAACTTTTTGCTGAGCATTGATGGTGTACATAAATAATACAATGACCACTGTGCACATATTAAAAATGGCTACCTACCATATTGTTACTCTTTTCTACGACTGCATTAAAACATGTTAAAACATGAAACCATGACAATATCACTCATGACAAACTGACAGTCTCATTGCTCCTCAACAACACGACCAACAATGCTTTAGTCTTACTTTGTGTAGGAGATTGTTGATCACATGATGCACTAAAAACAATCCCCCATTTTACATTAAGAGTGGGATGTTATGTTGAGAGAGAGCTGATAATTAAATGCTCTTTTTCTGGACAACTGATGAAATTGTTTATACTTAACATTTTCTTTCCAAGAATTCTATCCTTTAAAAAAATTACTGATAAAGTTGGATTTCTACATCTACTTGGAGCATAACGGGAATATAAAGCTTGTGAAAAATAACAGAAGGAATTAATCTAGCTCTAATAATGAATACACGGCCATAGAAAGAATTTAAGAAAGAAGTAATCAAATGAGGCAATTAATGTATCTCAGAACAGGTTAATACCTTCCCTATGGATGGACATAAAAGCAACTGCAGGGGTAAACCAAAGAGAGAAAGCATTATTTGTAATTCTAATCCACTTCTATTCTATTCTAAAGATCAATGTAGGAGAAACTCTCATCTCTAAGTGAGATCAGTGTAGGAGACATCCTCATCTCTAAGTGAGTTCAATGTAGGAGACCTCCTTATCTCTGAGATTAATGTAGGAGACATTCTCAACTCTGAGATCAGTGTAGGACATCCCCATCTCTGAGTGAGATCAATGTAGGAGACATCCTCATCTATAAGTGAGATCAATGTAGGAGACCTCCTCATCTCTTAATGAGATCAATGTAGGAGACATCCTCATCTCTAAATGAGATCAATGTAGGAGACCTCCTCATCTCTGAGATCAATGTAGGAGACCTCCTCATCTCTAAGATCAATGTAAGAGACCTCCTCATCTCTAAGTGACATCAATGTAGGAGACCTCCTCATCTCTCAGCGAAATCAATGTAGGAGACCTCCTCATCTCTAAGTGAGATCAAAGTAGGAGACCTCCTCATCTCTGAGATCAATGTAAGAGACCTCCTCATCGCTAAGTGAGATCAATCTAGGAGACATCCTCATCTCTAAGTGAGATCAATGTAGGAGACCTCCTCGTCTCTAGTGAGATCAATGGAGACCTCCTCATCTCTAAGTGAGATCAATCTAGGAGACATCCTCATCTCTAAGTGAAATCAATGTAGGAGACCTCCTCATCTCTGAGATCAATGTAAGAGACCTCCTCATCGCTAAGTGAGATCAATATAGGAGACATCCTCATCTCTAAGTGAGATCAATGTAGGAGACCTCCTCATCTCTAATTAAGATCAATGTAGGGAACATTCTCTTCTCTAAGTGAGATCAGTGTAGGAGACCTCCTCATCTCTAAGTCTCTACTTACCTCATTATCTTTAAAACAAGCCACAAAACTGTCAAATGAAATGTGATCCTTTCCATCCAAGCTATTCCTGTTACCAATAAATAGAAGATATTATACTTTACATATATATGTGGTCATAAAAAAACACTTGGTATCAGCAACGACTTTCTATCATAAGATGAAAAACATGCAAATTTCTGTCCTGCAAATGTCTAAAGAGTGGCCATAAACCACCCTTGTAACTGGTATGTGTTGTAGCTTACCCTTTTTAATCCCCCCTCATAAGTGGTTTGTATTGTAACTTACCCTTTTTAATCCCCCCTCACAAGAAGTCTGTGTTGTACATTAATACCATTTTTAATCCCCCCCCCCTTGTAAGTGGTTTGTATTGTAGTTTACTACCCTTTCTAATCCCCCCCTTGTAGGTGGTTTGTTTTGTAGCTTACTTCCCTCCCTCTAAGTGGTTTGCATTGTAGCTTACCCTTTTAAGAATTTACTGTACTGTTCCTGTGTAATATACCCCACCAAACTGTATAGAATTCTCAGCAAGGCCTCTCTGCATCAAAATATTAGGAGAATGTTAACAATGTACATTGTGCAGTGCAAACAGGTGTATTCACATTTATTTAGTATACATAGACTAAAATTCAAGTTCACTGATTACATTTCTTCATTGTTAAAGTACTTCAAAAGAGTAAACATGGTAAAACACCAATTACTATATATAAGTATGTATTTATATGTTGACGTTTTTTTAGGATTTGACCTTGACACAACCCCTTTCCCTGTGGGGTCGTTGGCCTTGAACATGTGTCGCAGTCCATAGTATCCAGTGGTCAGTCGGTCTTTAACCTTTTCTGTTACCTGTAAACAGGAATATATATTTAAATACATGTATGTATGCTTATTAAAATCTCATTTACCAAAAATGCAGTGAAACTCAAGGTTTCATAAGATTTGTAGTGGTTTTATTTTCACTCCTTTCACTGGTAACCATTACCCATAAATTTACCTCAAAAAAAATATTGAAATGTTGTGATGTCTTCTGTAATAATATTTTTGTCATTGAACATGTTGAAACTGTCAACTTTAAGCTATTCATGAAAATTGGTCCCCATAAATTAAAATAACCCCAAAGTAGCATGAGTAGTTCTGGGTGACTATACGTACCTCCTCGCTGGTGCGTGGGGTGGCGGATGTTACATCCTGTCGTCCTCGTGTCTTGTGTGGTCCCTGGCTGTACTCTATAAAGTATTACAATACAAAAGTATCAGTATAAAGCATTACAACATGTACAATACAAATGTATCAGTTTACACAAGAAGTGATCAAGTGTTAATTATCACTGAAAACTCTCTGAAGATCAATCATTTACAGGGCTCTCAATTCTCTATAATTGGGGCCGTTTTAAGGCCCCATTCCCAATTCAAAAAAAGTACCTTTTTTCCCAATTTAATGTTTCAATTTTCCCGATTGGTCACTTCCCCAAATATTACAGAACATTTAGTAAAATATGTAGTTCCTAAACTTGTTATTCATATTTCTCTATACTACAAAACAGAAATTTAGTTGATAACTACCACCAGAAACTCAATATATAATGAATTTAATGGATATTGTCTAGTTATGATTTTCCCAAATTTCCTCAAAAGGTTGCTAATTTTCCCAATTTTCACGGCCCTGGCCCCAGTCCCAAAAACTTGTGTGAGAGCCCTGCATTTATGAAATGCAAATATATATGTATATATGATATATATAAAAAAAGATCAGTAAGATAAACTGCAAACAAACTCTCAAATGAACCCTTTTCAGATCGGCGAGGATTTGTAAACTGGGAACATTTGTTGCCATGAATTTGATGAACTACAGTCAAACTTTGTTATCTCAAATGTGAAGGGACCAAGAAAAAAACTTTTAATATAAACGAAGGTTCAAGATATTGAGGTTAATATCCATAAAGAAAACAGTGTTAAAGACTTTTAATTCACTACGATATATCCATGGTAATCGAAATATCAACTTTCAAGATAACAAAGTTCAACTGTACCTTATTATTTCAGTAACTGACAGAAAAGACAGTTATGGAGAGAGGCATTCAAAAAGAAATTTGTTGCATATCAGAATGAATAATTTGAACAGAAGTAGTTACAAAAGAAAGCTGGTTTACAGTATTCCACACTGATATCTATCAACTGGGAAAGTGAATTCATGTCAATACACAACTGATTCTGTCATGTTTAATAAGCAGGCGTTTGTTTTAGCATTTAAACACATGATAAAATGCAGGGATAACATGAATAATATTGATAGATTTCTGGAACACACTGTCATTCATGTAAGTATGAAAATTAATATTAATATATGTATATCTTTTGTTCCACCACCAATAAATCAGCAATTAAAACTTATACCAAAATCCTGGGTAAAACAGACATAACAATTCATATATAACACTGTCCACTTCAACTTCTACCCTTCCCTGTTATTCCACAATGATGCTGAAAATGGCTGTTATTATTATTTTCATATTCACACTGTGTATATCATGGTTAAGAACAGTATACTGTGATAAATAAAAATTACAAATTAATTTATCAGCTGATTAATAAGAGCAGCTCGTTATCAGCTGATGTATATTTCACACAGCAGAAACCTGTCTCTTCTTCAGTGATGGCGTCTAGCACAAGGTTCAACGGAGGAAGTTTTACAACCTCTGCACAGTGCCCTGAACCCTGAGTTGACGGTTTTCTCTTAGTCTCAATCTGTGGCAGAATTAAGGGTTTCTTTTTCTTGTGGAAGGATTTTTTTCTCATGAGTCCCATTCTCTCTGTCGCTGAATGACGGTATTTAAATGGGGGAAAGAATTCAGTCGCTGAAATACCACAGAATTTACAACCACCTCCCTTTCCACAGATACATAATAAACAAAATAATGTAGAGATATAATTTCATTTGATTTCCTCAAACTAAAATACCATAGTTCTATACAAACAATAAGAAGATGGGGTATTTGGCATGTGATCTGCAGGAATCATAGAGTCCAAAACATTTAAAGTTTAAATATCCACTAGTTGGTCGGCTGAATACAGCTGGACAGGCTTTACAAAGTTATGCACATTGGAAAATGTTACATTTATTTTGAAATAACATGTCAAATTTTAATATTTAGGTCCGCTTATCTTGATAAACAAACTATAACATGATGATGCTTCACATAAATAATAAACACCTACAAGATAATGAGGGTATAGTTAAATGCAATTACAAGTACATGTATGTGTATACAGTAAAACTCGTTTAGTACGAACACGGATATAGTAAATTCAAGGATATAGCCAATTTTTCTTGGATCCCCAGCTATATAGATTTAACGAATTTCTTATACAGATATAACGAATTACAGATATAGCGAAGTAATTTCACAGGTCCCGGTGACTTCGTTATAACAGAGTTTTACTGTATTAAAGTAACAGTAGGTTGGAAGAATTGCTTTCACTCTCGAAGCAACAGAACCAGAATTTATCCATTTCAAAATAAATCAGTACAAAAAAAAAATAATAAACTGACAAAAGAATTGTTTGCATTCAAAAAAAATATTAACGCTCCATGTGAGGAACGAACCAGAAAATTTTTGAATCCATTGCCATACATGCCAACTTACTTTCCTGATTTTTTCAGGAGTCTACCGATTTTTAACCCTACCTACCGCTTGTTTACCGATATATTTTTTTAATCCCATTTCTACCGATTTTTAGGAATTCCGGATTTTTACCGATCCACTTTGAATAATACCGCATTTCCGTGTGAAAAAAGATGGCAGTTCGAATGTCTATCGGTAGATATCTGTTTATTGCCGCTGATAACAGGTAATCAACAAGGTGTCAACTTTGCTACCAGTCATTACTGTGGTTTTAATTGCTCCCGATTCTCATTAACAGTGTATATTAACCTAGACAATCATGCCAGATGTGGAAATTTTAGAAATACACATGACAGGATACAAATTTGTGACGAGTTCACACTTAAAAGCAAAATTTGACAATATACGTATAAGCTGTTAATAAAAGGTTTTCAAGTTTAGGAAATACGGCATTTCTCACTATAATTACGAACTAAGTCATTGATCATGGATAAGACACTGCCAAAATCCAACTTGAAAAGATGCATCTGCAACATAGGCACTATGGTCTGCAAGTACAAACCGTTAGTTATTTTTAGCAGAATTCAAGGAGTGGTTCACAAAAGTTAGAAAGGAGAAGATGTACCATGTCTTTTACAGACTTTGTATGAAAACATTAAAAGTGACTTCTTCTTAGTATTTCCCTTTGATTTAACAAAATTACAAATTATTTGTCTGTGACTTGGTAGCTTTATAAAATGTGTAATTTACCAATAGACAAAACAGTAACTGCATGAACTCTTTTAGTAACTTGCTTTAGCTTATTTGTAATTAAGTTTAACATCCTTATCCCATGTAATAATCTGTATGTGTATGACATCGCAAATGGCAGGGGGGTAATGTTTATCTTTATATTAACATCTTAAATAATTTTGATTAAAATTTTTTTTCTTTTTTAAATTTCAAATAATATTGTGTTTTTGTTGAAGTTGATAGAGAAGAAAACCCTATGAAGTAGTGATAATATATGATACAAGGTATTAGACTGACATTTGAAAAAAAAACAACAAATACTTATTTTCACGACAAAATGCCACAAATTTAGAACTTTAAAAAATGTCATTATGCGCAATCTTCCCCAAGGAAATTTTCAAAAGTTGGCATGTATGCATTGCACTGGGCGGGTAACGCATACTACTGAGCTTAGTATCATCACTACACACATAACTTGAGATTTTAAAATGACAATGAAGCACCGCATTTACACACTGGAATTTTTTTATTAAAGTTCATTTTTTATATGGTCTCTGGGTCTTCTCTCCATTTTTTACAAATGATTGTTTGTTTCTTTGAATTAGAATGCATACAAATAACGTTTGAAAAATCATGGAGAGATGACCCAAAGATAGCAATTTTTTAGAAAAACGTGTTTAAAAATGTGATAATTTGTACCAAATGAATCATCTAGCCTATTTTCAAGTTATATTTTAGCAAATCAAAATACAATATCGAGAAAATATTTCCCTCTCCTATTTCACAGGAATCGGATACATCAAAAGAATGCTAAAACTTCATGTGACAGAACATATGAAATTTTCACTTTTCAAGTGCGCCCAGATTCCTGCCGTATGCAAATCAAAAGCGCCCTCATTCTTTTACAACTTTTCATTTCCAAAGTTATATAAAGATGCTTTGAGATCGACGTATTGATTGCTGAAGACTTTTACATTAGTATTTGAGCACTGAGCTCAGAATTGTAATGTAGTATGCTACAGAAGTTTTACTGAGAGCCAGAGACAAAACTGCTGATCTGCCACAAGTGAAACCTTCAGCGTTTTTCAAACAAACGGCCATTTTCATCTATTTTGGGAGGGATTTTACATTTAAATCTTAAAAAGAATTGGGATATAATTTAATTAATTTTGGGAAAACATTACCTCATTTCATAGGGGAACTGCCAAGCTAATGGAACATACTTACTTTCAAAAAGTCGTACAGCAGATATATACATGATGCTCGACCCATCTATATTTTAACTAATTAAAATACAAAGCAAACTACTGAGTCTACTGTTACTACCATGATACTATCGCCTGTTTGACAGTTGCCGCGCTACCGGAAATGAAACATATAAAGTAAAACCTAGGATCAAAAGAGGCAAATTCCGGAATGTTTCGAGCGATTTTTGGAACCCGAATTTCAAAATAACACTCGGCATAAGGAAATGACGAGTAAGTAATGTACGTGGAAACCAATTGACAATTTTTATTATTATTATCATAGTTAAATTTTCATTAATTGTCAATAAACTTCATTAGGCCTGAGAAAAAATACGTTTGTTTTATGGTTACATGTAACGTTTACCCCATTCTCTATCCAGAGTTGTCTTTCGCTACGCTCCCAACACCGGGAGGTGGAGTGTAGGGAACAACTTTGATTACCCGACCAACCCTAATTTTATGCGCCGACCTAATATTTTTGTTGTTGTTGTTGTTGTTGTTGTAGTTGTAAAATCCGGAAATTCTGGAACTCTTTGTATATTTTCCTGTCCATTGGTCTTTAGTTTTTTGTTAAAGGGGGGGGGGGGTTAATTTATGGTTTGAACTGGAGATTTTCGAACTATCTTAAAAAATATTTAGTGTTTCAAGATTATGTCTTTAGGTAAAAAAAAAAAATAATTAAAAGCAAAATCCTACTTACCAACCCTATCTTTTATGAGCATGTAATAGTTAATAATTTATTTTCTTATGCCTTAAACGATCTATAAAAAAAAAATGAAGTGATAGGGTCCGTAGTTTTGAAAACTTGTATTATTATTATAATTATTTTTATTTTTTTTTTTTTTTTTTAATTTTTTTTTTTATTTTTTTTTTTTTTTTTTTTTTTTGACATTGGTGGAAGTTAAAAACGCGGTGGGAGACACTAGGAGTATGCTATTGAGCACTCTCGAAAAAGATTTTAAAGTCTTTCTCGAAATAATTCTAATTGGTTTTCACAACTACAAATACATTAAGAAGTCATGTATTACCTGAGCATGTTCGTATAAGCACAGATTTCACGACCATATTTTATCTAAAGACATGACCGGATCTATAAGGAGTGGGATGGGACGTCCGAAACCCCACACCCCACCTCCTTTACCCCAGGCTTTAAGGAGGCTGGGGGGTCAACAAATTAACCACAAATTAACCACCAGATTTAACTTAATTTTTTAGATATGATATCTTAAGCTGTCAACTATCATCTGGCAAAGAAAAGTTTCAAAAATTTTAGTTTTAAAATTTGATCATTTTCTATATCTTCATATGGAGCTCTTCTTCTAAAGGAGATCAATATAGTCTAAAAATGGCCACAACCCCCCAGTCTCTTTAACGAAAAAATGGAATTGGACCTACCAACCCACCCCCGGAACACGGACCCCTCGTAAAATGCCGAGTAACGAGCGTCATAATTCAGAAGAAAATTGACGAAGGAAATTTTTCCTACCTATCTTCTCGTTTTTTTTTTTTTTGGTTTTTTTTTGTTTTTTTTTTTTTTTTGTTTTTTTGTTTTTTTTTTTGGTTTTTTTTTTTGGTTTTTTTTTTTGGGTTTTTTTTTTTTTTTGGTTTTTTTTTTTTTTTTGGTTTTTTTTTTTTTTGTTTTGTTTTGTTTTTTTTTTTTTTGTTTTGTTTTGTTTTTTTTTTTTTTTTTTTTTGGCAAATTCTGAAAAACACCTCGAATGTGCTATAATAACATCACCGGATGCTAAAATTTTAAACAAAATGGAGCTCGCTTCCTATTAAATAAAATATTGGCTAGAGGGTTGATTGTCGTCTCTGAGGTATATTTTAGCTGAATGAAGCTCTACACTCTACAGATAAGAGGGAATCCTACATTTATTTCAATATATGGTCGTCATGGATGCCCTCGTACGTATAACACACATTCGAGGTTGTTTTTCCGATTGCCGAAAAAGTCCGAGAAGATGCGATTGAGCCCTTCTCCTCCACCCAACGAAATTTTTTTTTTCACCTTTGGACAAGTTGTTAAGGTTTTTTTTTTCCTGCTTGTCAACAAAAAATTGCGAGTTCGACATTTGTTTGAGTTAGTTTGGACACCCCCCCCCCTTTAAAAAAAATCCTGGATCCGCGCATGAAAGACGTCAAGTTGAGAAACCACACGTAATTAACACTGTATATAAAAATTCAAATTAAGGATGCCTGGAACATGCTCAACGATTGCGTTTTTACGCCGCATTAAGGGTTTTAAAACTTGATATAATTATTCGTTTTAATTCTGCAAACATTCTTTTGCTCATGTTCAAGTATATTGCTTTGAGTCAGGTTGAAAACTGCATTTCAATCTAACTGCATACTACATGAGAACCGAGGTTTTAAATCGTGCAATTTTGAAAATTAAACATGTGGCTATTATTAAAAAAAAAATAAAAAATAAACGACGTTGTGTATTCCAAGTATTTTTTTTTTTTAATTAAAGTTACATATAATAAATCAGATGTTTTTTTTTTTTTAAAGAATGGGAGTTTTTTTTTAAATTTATTCATTTAGCATATTTAGTAGTTTGGTTGGTTTTTATGGAGGATATGGTGTGTTAATAATTTTGTAAATCCCCCAATCCCCACCATTTGAAAGCTATAAATCAATATTTATTATGTACATGTGTATGAATGAGTGTAGTGTTTATCCCTAAGTATTTTAATAAGCTTAACTGTCATCGATTATGACGTATGTCAAAGTATCTTATCTAGTTATCTTTAACTAGTGATTGTAGAGTAACAATGGTGCGTTTAGTGTACATATGTTTTATCTTATCGTCGGTTATCTGTTATAGGCCGGGTAACGATCGAGTTCGCCTTTATTATCGATGACAGCTCCCTCTATTGTTTGGTGACACGCCGACCTCGACTTTGAATTCTAATGATTCTGCAAAATAACTGCTGTGTTCCAATGCTTCATAGAAATGAATATTTTAACTTCAAAGTAGAATTTACTAGTCTAACCCAACATGCTGGCATAAAATTACCATCAATATAACAAAAGATGACATAAAAGTGAAACATTGGTGAGATTAAATCTCGGTCGTCTCCATAACCGTGTACAAGAAACACATGCATTATTAATGAGATTTCCTTCAAATAAATTGTTCCACACAGGAGAGATATAGTCTAGATGAATCACTTTATATATAATATATATATTACATACATATTGGAGCGATTCGATTCAGAAAACTTTCCAACAGAGAATTCTAGAATCCCAGAGAAATTAGCTTAGGAAATGTTATCCCTGTGGAATTAGCCGGGAAAATGTTGAATTACATTTTTTTTGCCCTCGTTAAGGTACTTTTTTATTAGTATTCCTCTAAACGAAGTTTTATTTTTTGGTTAAAAAAAAAGATTTAAGAAAAATCTCTCGACGCCGTTGTACAAATTACAAAGCTATGCGATGTCGACGTTGTTTTGATTTTTTTTTCTGAAGAAATGCATTGCACAACTCAAGTCTCATAATTCTCTTGGAATGTGAAACTTTAAAGTCGATCCTAGATTAATTGTTCTTATAGAATCAATAGGAAGAGAACAAATATTGTACCAGAAGTAAGAATAAATACACTGATGGGAGGTAAAGAGTTACAGGGCAGGATAGAAATTGATTTATTGTAGATATATCAGACTTCACTGTACGTATAACACTAAATTAAGTTAATTTTCAAGTATGGCCAAATAGCGCACTAGATGGTTATAGGTACAATAAAACTAATTTTTTTAATACTATTTAAAAGAAAATGTATTTCTCACACGCTTAATTGTGAGTGAAAGATAAGTATGATTCTAAATGATATAAAAAAAAGCCCAAAATTGATGAAAAAGAAATTTTAAAAAAAAACACCTCAGCCCCCCTCTTAGGTCGTGACTTATATGGATAATCTATCAAACTTTGGCTTGAAATGCAGATAGACATAAAGAGAAAATAGGGATTGGTGTTGAGGTTATGATCCCCCTCCTTATATAACCGCAACAAATATTACCTGGCGGCCACTGAAGGATCCGCTCCGGGGCGCTCGCCCTGACTGTGTTATTGGATGACGGATCACCAGTCCCAGAATGCTGGAACTGAAGCGACATCTTGCCAGAACGAAGTCCACTGGCGGATCCAAGAATTGCTAGTTCCTCCTGATTACTCATTCTGGACATAGGGTGTTGAATTATGGGGAGGTTAGGGAACCTCTTAGGTCCCGCGGAGACACGGGGAACTGCCGCCGTGTATGCCATACCCCCCTAGCTCTGACCGTCAACTCCAATCAGTATATGAAAACAACACTTTGTGCAGTTGGTCGTGTTTACATGCCACTGTTTTAAATACCACAATGTAAGCCCGCCGCCATTTTAGTGTACATAATCTCCATGGGAAACCACCTGTGTAAGGTCTTTTATGGACCAATGATTGTCACCCGACCATGTCTACAAAAGGTGTATTCTCTTAAAAAATATCGACGTTTTTAAAATCCTCTCGAGAGCTGTTAAACCCCGACACTGCGGGAGTGCAATAAGAACAGCAGCGATTTATAAAGGTATCCAGTCTTCTCTTAGTGATCCAATACAGATTTAGATTTTTGATGATAAATTATAATTTATAATCCTTATATTAAAAGTAATATAAATATAAACGTAATATGACTGTAACGAAAGTTTTGAGATGAAATATCTCCCAAGTATTTTCTACAAAGCAACATTTCTTTTCTCTTTTAATTATTTTACAGTGTACTAAATGTTGTTGAAAGGATCTAGATGTATATATTGAGTTTTATCTATTTAATTTCAACACAGAATACTATGCAGCTATTTACCCCAGGAAAAATGTCCAAAAACAACAAAGATGGATATAAATCAAATACACATATTTATCTTACGTTTATTGAACCATCTGGGTTTGCTGAACCTCTCTCATATTCAGCTGACGTTTGATGTTACCTCTCTCACATCTAGCTGTCGTATATGCTGGTACATCTTTCTCATATTAAAAAGACGTCTCTCGGGTTAAGTTGACGTTTGCTGTTGATTTTATCTCTCATATTAAGTAGACGTCTCTCGTGTTAAGTTGACATTTGCTGTTGCTTCTTTCTCACATATTTAGTAGACGTCTCTAGCGTTAAGTTGACGTTTGCTGTTGCTTCTCTCACACATATTTAGTAGACGTCTCTCGTGTTAAGATGACGTTTGCTGTTGCTTCTCTCTCACATATTTAGTAGACGTCTCTCGCGTTCAGTTGACGTTTGCTGTTGCTTCTTTCTCTCTCACACATATTTAGTAGACGTCTCTCGTGTTAAGTTGACGTTTGCTGTTGCCTCTCTCTCACACATTTAGTAGACGTCTCTCGTGTTAAGTTGACGTTTGCTGTTGCCTCTCTCTCACACATTTAGTAGACGTCTCTCGCGTTAAGTAGACGTTTGTGGTTGCTTCTCTCACACATATTTAGTAGACGTCTCTCGCTATAAGTTGACGTTTGTTGTTGCCTCTCTCTCACATATTTAGTAGACGTCTCTCGCGTTAAGTTGACGTTTGCTGTTGCTTCTTTCTCTCTCCCACATATTTAGTAGACGTCTCTAGCGTTAAGTTGACGTTTGTTGTTGCTTCTCTCCCACATATCAAGTAGACGTCTCTCGTGTTGAGCTTTTTCTATTGCATCTCTCTCTCTAACACTGAAGCCGACGTTTGCAGTGTCTTACCTTCCACCTGCCAACTTTCACACATGAGTAGCTCGGAGAATATTAGACAGTGAATGGTACCCGTCAACATCCACACATACCAACATTATACGTAAAGTTTTTCCCACTAGCCGCAATGTTGCAATTAAGAACATACGCAACGTAGTTTGTCTTTTTCCCTGGAGTTGAAGAGTTCCAATACTTAAAGGAACTGTGTGCTTCATTTTAATGTCTATATATGCTAATGTACACTTCTTCTAAAACAAGTTTGGATAAAGAAAACATCTAGAATATATTTTTAGTAATTTTTGTATGTTTTTCTTTGAATTATACAAGAATTTTCATCAATTGATATCTTTTCAATACCCCTGGTAATGTTTGCTGATTTTTTGTCTACGAACATCTGATGGCACTATAATCTTAAATTAAGAATATCTCAAAAACTTATCAGTAGGTAAGGTACGTTGCGTATGTCCTTAAGATAGATCTACAATATGTTAGCTTTTAACATGTTCTTATTTCTTTCTTTGAAACCAAAAGTTGTATTTTCCTCCATTAGAAGTAACTGCATAATGTACAGTGAATGTCGTCAAATCATCATTCACTTGAAAAAAAAACATAGATGTAGACTTGACAACGTAATTACGTGTACGCTACATCAAGGAAGTATTTAAACAGTACATAACATTTACTTTGAATTCCCTAAAGTATGTAATTAATTGATCCACTTTTCCTGAAACGGAGGGGGGGGTTACTATGTAAAGTTAACATCTCTGAAAATTCCATAGATTCCGGACTCTAATCCCCGACTGCAATGCATCCTTTTTGGTCAAAAGGTCCTGCTTTGAAAGTAATTAAGAGTTATCTCTCTTGACCTGATTTGTTAAAAAGACACACGAGTTTTATAGGAATTTTTATATATAAATAGTAAAAAGAAAATATTTTTTCAAAAAACAACTGAAAAATTTAAATATCAAATAAAATATAATAAACATGATGCGGCGTTTACAAATATACATAGTATTATATAAAACACCTGAACACATAAAGCAAATATAAAATATTGAACACAATGTATAGAAAATTAAGCATAAAAAATACAAAATCTGTAAAAAACTGTAGAATATCATTTACTTGAAAGTAACCCAAAATACGGTGGGTATCCAATTCGTATAGATCTAGAAATTTAATACTGCAGTCACACAGCATTTGATGAGAGCATGCGTTTTATTGTGGTTTTCTATCGTCCAACTTAAATAATTAAGTTATAACCAAGGGCAGAGAAGATTGCCATGAATATGTACCACATTAAAAAAAACGAACAAAAAAAAACATTATTACCTTATTGAAATCATACCTCAAAGTACAGCTTTAACTTAAACAGTTAAACGCTGACAAAATATTTGAATAAATTTACGCTTAATATAAATGAATAATTTCAGCAAATTGTTGAACATCATTCTATATGACTGGCACAACATTTATGTCTATTTACTGATTCTGAATAAGAAAATGGTACACATCATAACACTTTTATAAAAACCACACAATCAATGACTGATGTCCGACATTTCCTCATCCCCTTCATCATCCATTTCCTCTTCTCCAATGGTTGGCGATTGCTCTAGTTCAATGAGAGACAGAATTTCCTCCGCAAGCGAGACAATTGCGTCACGATCAACTTCCGGTGTTATCACATGATTTATATCACTCTGTTGAGAGTCTAACCAAGTCTCACTTTGGCCCTGCTCCTCAACACCCACGTGATTGTAATCCAGGCCTAAATTTTGGTCCTCAATACCCGAATCATCGGGATCAAAATTATCTTCCCCTGAGAGGTAGTCCGGATTATTTTCTAAGTTTGACAAAATTCTTTGTACATTGAGTGCACGTTGCTGCTCGTATAAATGTTTCTGAAGTCCTACAACTATGGGGTCATCCTCGGCAAAACGCTCAACCTCCACAAGATATCGTAGAGCTTCCGCCGCGCAGTCTCTGTACCCTGTTAGAACGACTTCCGCTTGTTGTAAGGGAGATAATCCTATCATGGCTGGATGTTGTGCTGTGTGTCCAGACATCAGAGAAGGGCTGCTATGAAAATCTTCACCTACAATAGACCAGATCGTATGTTACTCAAGATCACCACTGTTCAGTTGCATGTGTACTTCTCTATAGGTAGTACAGTACATGGTGGTAGAAAATGTACATATTGTCTTTTATCAATTTTCAATCTAAAGTTGAAATGATTACATGACCAATTATAATTTGTCATGTAATCATTTTCAACTTTAGATTGAAAATTAATAAAAGATAATACGGTGAGCCTGGTATTTACATGATATAATCGCAGGGAATATATTAAGTTAGTATATACATGTATTTCCCTGACAATGAAAATAAAAAGTACAAAAATCCATAAAGTTATAAGCTGATTAACAGTACAAATTAAATCCACTGCAATCAGAGACATAAATAATTAATATATAACTTTTACATTCGAATACTACCTAGCTAATGGTGGACCTCTCCAAAGCGGCTAAAATTTCACTTACGATTGAAAAGCTGCATAGATTCACAAAAATCAATACATCTCCATGATTACCAAAAAAACATTTGAATATTTTCCCATTAATCAATTATTGCAATGGCGGATTCAAAATACTGATGAGAACATGTTGTTTGTTTATTAATATATATATATATATATATATATATATATATATATATATATATATATATATATATATATATATATATATATATATATATATATATTTATTTATTTATTTATTTATTTATTTATTTATTTATTTATTATTGGGGTGTTATTAGTAGCAAAAAATAATTATGGATCATCTGTAGTTTGACTAGGAAATGTCATGCTGAATTCTTCACCGAATGATGGAATGCACTTACATCATCAAATTCAGAGAGCGCGATTCTGTAGATCATCAGTGATTGATTCAAGGTGGGGGTTGGGAAGAGGGGGGGGGGGTAGAGGGCTGTCTTATAATGCTTAAATTAGAAAGTGATGTACTTTCAATAATTAAAGTCGATTACCCATTTGCAAAAAGTTCGCTTGACGGTAAATATTTTATTAAAATGTCACTCTAGCGAGCTTGTATTTTTAATTCTTTGGGATTATCAAAAGTCAAATATTATATCAGTAAATAAAATCCATTGTATTAAAAATTAATGGTTAAAGATGAATTTATACTTTCTGAGGAGATACGAACTTTGTGCTGTTATTATCAAAGTTCGTCACTGTATGTACAAAATACCGCCTCACACACCTCTTCATATAACAGTGTGTAATAATTATCAATACACCTTTAACCAGATAACTACACGTGTTTTTGTCTTATCTTTTACAGTTATAGTATTTAACGTTGTTTTTCCTGAAATTAAAATTGAATAGAAAATATCAAATGACAAGAAGTAAAGACCGAATAAGGAATACAAACCTGTTAGATACATGTATAAACACTGAGTCCCCCTCATTGTACTGAAATTGTCACTGATATATACACTGTTACTCCTTACAGTTTGTGTCTATAACTGCCTCATAGCTGGGAGCCTGAACTCGTCCGTGTGACTATCTCACCCTACAGGACAGATGTTCCTAGGTCCCACACAATAAATTTGTCCCATTGTATGGCCATGTGTGAATCGCGCCACATGTGTCGGAATGTTTAAGGGGCGGGGTCACGGAGTCGTGATCGGTCTAGCGCACTATCTGGTCACACATGTATGCAAACAAAGTACAGGTAAAAAGCATATAGGTAAGTGTAGACCGGGAACTCGACCCACGCGCCAGTGTTTGTCCCGATACGACATATGGTGAATGACAAAAGTTTAAACGGCCGCTCACCCCAGGTATAAATTTACCGGATCCATTGTCTGTTTTACTTTTGTGTACATAAAGCCGACAGCTTGTGAAACTCACTGCCAAATTTCACACGTTAATTTAAATGTTTTTATTCACAAAGAAATGCTAAAATTTCACTTATATCAAAGTATCCAAATTTAGGAAATAATTTTTATTTGAGTCATTAATAGGTAAGTGTAGGAAGAGGAAATTTTCAGCATGCATTACCAGTATAGGAAATCCCTAAATACAGAATTTATAAGACTTAAAAACTTTTAAGTAAGATTTTGTGATTTACATTCATCATGCAATCCATCATTAATTTTCTTTAAGGCAAAAATTCAGGTGGATGTGGGGCACCTGCCCAAAGAAAAATAATGTGTGCATAAAGGAACCCAGGAATACTGGAGAGAGAGAGAGAGAGAGATGTACTATGGAAAATGAATATTTCTTATTTAAGGACATACGCAACTTACCTTACCTACTGATAATTTTTCAAGATATTCTTAATTTAAGATAATAGTGCCATCAGATGTTCATAGACAAAAAATCAGCATGCATTACCAGAGGTTTTGAAAAGATATCAATTGATGAAAATTCTTGTATTCTTCAAAGAAAAATATTCAAAAATTACTAAACATATATTCTAGATGTTTTGTTTATCCAAATTTGTTTTAGAAGTGTACAACAGCATATATAGACATTAAAACGTAGCACATAATTCCTTTAAGTATTGGAACTCTTCAACTCCAGGGGAAAAGACAATAAAGTTCAAACTATATGGCATATGTCCTTAATTAAAGCCCCATTTTCAAGGCACAATATCAAAGGTTTTTGATTTCGTACTGTGTGGGTATACATATAGTGTAAAATCACAAAACCTTGACGTTGTGAAGATGAAAACGCTGGAATTTCCTTCAACTTACGAGGGGTCTGTGTCCATATGCAATGGGAGAGGGGGTACAAAAGTCACTTTTTAGCTACTTTACTTGTATGAATTTAATTACTCCGAAAATTAAAGGAGGTACGTAGCTTCGTGCTTGGACCACCGCTGCGTATTTTCCGGATTTTTAAGAAGTATCGTACACTTTTTTTTCTGTGAAACTTTGGGCCTTATTGAGAACAATCTGAATGTTAGAAAAGTTGGAATACCTTTACTCGGTGCCAAATAGTTACAGAGGTGATGGCAGGACCAAACACGAGATTAGTTCTCGGTACAGTGTGATAATGGTCCCTTTATCGTAAGAATGAGGAAAACATTATCACCCTAGAACACTGACATGTCCTGCCACCACGCAACCCCCCGATTGATTATCGACAAACCTTAACACTCGGCCTGTCAATATTGTGTAAGACAGTGAGTATGTTATTGTAACCGGGAATCTGACAGAACCATTCAAGCTTCTGTCAAACTGACTCAGATTGATAAGAAATGTATTTAATTTTCCATCTTAGAATTTTAATGTATTTCAAAGGTTCCTTTTATTTATGTCTTCTTCACTTGGGTAACTGACATGAGGGGCCATATGCTTTTATTACAGATTAATGTGGTACGTACGGATATCCTCAACTTATTTTCTTTATAATCTGGTTAAAAAAATTATTATGCATTATACGGAGAAAGTCATGCAGCTGTCGCGAAAATATTTTGGCCGAGGCACGACCGCTTAAAATATATCTTATTTAATTTTCTCTGAGGATGCACGTCTTTCTACGGGAAAAGAGGGCTTTTATCATTTTCTGATATTAAGTCTAAAGATTTTTAAAATCAGGATTTATAAAAATACAAAACGAATGTGAACAAAAAGGATATATGCCCGAACGTTAGAGAGAATTTGATCGAACTAGACGTAGAATGTGACCACTAACCATATTGGTCTCGTAAAAATTTTTACTTTCTTTATCTAGATTTAACATGAATTATGTTGCATGAAGCTATTAAGGGGGGGGGGTCTAGTCATTGAGGTCTGTACTCATATGGAGGGAAAAGGCCGGGGGAGGGGGCATAACATTGAGCTTCCGCAGGCCCGTAGAACGGGGGCAGGGGGGACGTCCCCCACTTATTTTGAGTATAGTATTTTGCTATAGTAAATTTTCCTTTAGATGCCCCCCTCTTTTTTTGTTGCTGTAAGGGCAAGCACTGGTGAATTCCAGGATTTGGACAGTCAAATAGGGTTTTCTTTTGCTCAGATTATTTTGGGACACCCCCCCCCCTCCACACTTTGGTTAGTTAAGTTTTTTTTTTTGTTTTTTTTTTTTTTTTGCTTGTCAGATTTTTGGGGGAAGTTGGGCCCCCTCCTCACTTCTAAAACCGTTTAGATATTCAAACAGAGTTCATGAATACTTAACAGCTGGTAATTTACTAGAAGTCCATGAAGCAAAGCCATTTAAAAATATATCCAATGGAATTTGTCTTAAGATTTCTCAAAGCCTTGACTTCTGGAGTGGAAAGTAAATGTTTTTAAAGACTTTGATATACCGGTATAAATATTTTGAAATATATTAAGTGTTCTTACCCCCCACCCCACCCTCACCCCCTTAAAGGCAATGAACCTTTGTAATGTTTGTTCTTTAACAAAATGACAAAGAGACGTACATATAACGTAATGATGTACGTGCGTGGTTCTAAACTTTATAAAACCTTACCACAGCCCCCGTCTTCTGTGTTTACATTACTTTGTCCGTGTAGCTGATCATCATACAGTGAACTCTGAAATACAAAATAATTCCATGATAGAATTTAGATATTAAGATTTCGGTTTACCAAATAAATCAGTTCTGATCATGGGAAATCGCTTCCATATTACTAATTAGAAAAAGTACTGAAAAGAATTTCATTTTATACTAAGGTACTATATTAGCGGCTTTACTGTCGAGGCTTTAAGTCATACAAAGGCGAGTCTGAAGGCATTTTCTCGAGACCAACAATTCTAAATGTTCAAATACAAACTGCCATTCAAAACACTGTTAAATGATAACACAATGATTTACCCCGCTCCATAGAAAATTCACATCCATATTCAACTAGAGACTCCCTTAAAAAACATTCAAATATAGGAAAAAATGAAAGATTTTGAAATAAAAATGTAGGAGTGCGCGTGAGCCAATGAAATGAAGGTCTTTGATGCAGGACGCGCGTTCGCCACCATCTGTCGCGTGCGGCGCTTGAAGTATTTGGTTAAACAAAAGCTGGGCCTTCACGGGTGATGAGAGCACATATGGTGAATTTTAAGTTCTATAACACACCATATCTTTTGATTTTATTTATGTTTTAAATTTTTTCATGTCTAATATTTTTTATTTTAAACAAATATTGAAGATTTTGTTATTTTCTTCAAATTAATTTAATTAAATGAAAGCCATACCTTTCACCGCTTAAAATTGAGAATTTCATATTAAATCTTTTACCGATTATTTGAAGTGTAGGTCACATGTATGGAATTTTAAATAAAAATCTATCAATTTGTTAAGATCCTTGGAAATTGTTTTTATCAGTCATTATTTTGGCGACTTTAAAAGCATCTATATATGTAGTTCTTTATTGTGACAATTGAAACATCATTACAGAGAACAAGTACATCTTTAACAGATGCATCAGTACTTAAAAACAATTGTAAAACCAAGAACTGACAAAGGGAGTGGATGTTTTAAGAATTTGACAAAAAAGTTGAATGTTTCACGTAAAATAAATCAATGAAGCAATTTAAGCAAGTATTATACTTACCTGCTTGAATAAAGTCATTCTTTGATGAATGTGCTGACTCAGTTTTTCACAGGAAAATGAGAGAATTAAAAAACGAAAAACATTAAAACCTCCGTATTTTGAGAAATCAGCAGACAAGAGGAGCAGGTGATTGGGGAACGTAATGCCGGACCGGCATTACAACACGGTAATCTAGATCACCTGTACATGCAGCCCCAGAGAGCACCTGCTGGTGTCCTCACATCAAAGAGGCGCGCGTGCAGCTGTCCTCGTGTCAACCAATCACACGCCGCTACCGGAGAAACGCCACTTTGTGTGTAAATACATCACGGTAAATAGAAATTAAAATTCATAATAATGAAGAAATGTGCAAAGTGTGAAATACTAAACCTGTGTTGTCAATCTCTCTTAAGTAATCTCTGCATAGTAGGCGCAGAAAATCTTTAAGTTGGAGTTTATATTTTTGAAACTTTTTTGTTGCTATATGTATAATCAGTGGATTTAATGATTAAAGTTCAACCGCTATAAACGAATGTCAGAAGTTCATGATAAATATACATTTTTGTTAAATAATTTTGACACACAACACAGAATTCATAACCCAACCCCTTTTCCTCTCTCCGTAATTTTCAATTTATTACAACAGAACGGGCACATGTTTGTCTTTAACATTTATTCCCAGAAGGTTTGTTGACATAAATATTTAATAATTCAGTATATGAATGGATCTTTAAGTATTTGGAGATGTTTAGAAATTTAATCGGGTGTCGTCTGACAAAATCTCGGTTGACTGTTGAGCGAATGCTTAGGGTTTCCTAGGTAATAATTAAAGAACGTGACTGCCTCGTGACAGCCGACCGCTAGGCATACGGCGCACGTGTCCGGCACAAGCTAATACGGACATTCCGACAGTAAGCGCACGTGTCCGGCACAACCTAATACACGTCCTGGACATTCCAACAGTAATGTCATATTGTAATTTTTGAATTTACCGGGTGGTAGTAAATACAAAAATTGCAATATGACAACTTGTCATATTGTAATTTTTGTATTTACTACCACCCGGTAAATTCAAAAATTACAATATGACAGTAAGTACACGTGTCCGGCACAACCTAATACACGTCCAGGACATTCCGACAGTAAGCACACGTGTCCGGCACGAACTAATACACGTCCTGGACATTCCAATAGTAAGTACACGTGTCCGGCGCAAACCAATACACGTCCAGGACATTCCGACATTAAGTATACGTGTCCGGCACAAACCAATACACGTCCTGGACATTCCGACAGTAAGTACACGTGTCCGACACAAACACGTCCAGGCCATTCCGACATATTTCAAACGTAAGATGAAAGTTCGATAACTGGAATAATGCTGATAAAAGGTTGAGATACTTGTCCTGAAGTATTTTCTGGACAGTTTTATTGAAAACTTGAATGGAATAAACAGAACAATTAAATCAAACTTTCTTAAAACACCAAAGCAAAAAGAATGACAGAAGAACAGGAATTATATATGTTCTTTGATGTTGTAATGTATTACCCTGACCTGTGTTAGATTGACTTGAATATTGTAATGTATTACCCTGAACTGTGTTAGATTGGCTTGAATATTGTAATGTATTATCTTGACCTGTGTTAGATTGACTTGAATATTGTAATGTATTACCTTGACCTGTGTTAGATTGACTTGAATATTGTAATGTATTACCTTGACCTGTGTTAGATTGACTTGAATATTGTAATGTATTACCCTGACGTGTGTTAGATTGACTTAAATATTGTAATGCATTACCTTGACGTGTGTTAGATTGAGTTAGATATTGTATTACCTAATTGAAGAATATGCATTAGATTGAATTAGATATTGTATTACCCATTAAAAATGTCTGTTAGATTGATTTAAATGTTGTATTACCCATGCATTTAAAGAACATCAATTAGATTAGCTTTAATATTGTTCTACCCAATGAAAGAACGTGTGTTAGGTAGACTTAAAGTGACAGTACGGCGCATCTCATCAAAAAACTGACTTCATAAAATTTTCCTACAAGATTTGAAATTTTTTTACTACTCATAAATGTATAAACTTTCAGAAAATTACATTTTTCACAATTAAATAATTTTGGTTAATTCATTAGAATTAATAGTTATTTATGGGACATAAATATTTACATCGCAACGTGTTCGGGGTTCCACATTCCATGCTATGCACGCATGCGTAGTTTTCATAAACAAAACAGCATGGTTAGAGAGGGAATCCCGGTAGGCCTGCTACATTGACAAAGTCGACCAAAAAGAAAAAGAAACTGAAAATAGAACTGAAAAAGCAACTTTCCTGACTAAAATTAAGTTTGGGGATTGATATAATCGTTGGATAAGGAAGTCGGCGACTCTCACGCTGGGCTCGCGAAGGTTCTACTCGACAGGTTTGTTGATACTTGTTATCATTTCTAATTTTTCCATCGCTTTCAAAGAAAAATAAATTAGTGTAAACTCAACATAATAATACACCTATGACTTATAAACATCGTTGCCATTTGAAGTGCTAATTTTATTAACTGTGCAGAAAAATATTTTGTTTGACATTTGCCGCGATAACGTATGATTCGGTGGTTTTTCCTTTCTCGGACCCCAATACACAAAACGTCAACATTTGTACTTTTAATTCTTTTAAATTCGCCTGAAAGCAGACTAAAATCTTTACGATTATTATTTTAGATTATTTTATCAGAAAGTTATGATAATTTGCTTTTGAAAATTGCTTTTACCTCATATTCATTATAATTGTAAACTCTACAGTGTAGGCACGTGCCGTTTTAGAATTCACGTGGTACAAATAAACAGATCTAAGATTGCTCCAGTTCGTACGACCCTTGATTTTCCGGCAGATTCTAATTACGTTAATTTTGTATGAGGAAAGAATATTTCTGTTTCTCATACTGCTTACATCAACTTTATACCTTATTTCTTAATGATATATTGGATAAATTTGAATGAAAAAGCACACGTTTTGCAGCCGTACTGTCGCTTTAAATTTTATATTACCTATTTAAAGAACGTGTGTTAGATTAACTTTAATATAATTCTACCCATTGAAAGAACGTCTGTTAGATAGATTTAGATATTACCCGTTTAAAGAACGTCAATTAGATTGACTTTATTTACAAGAGGATAATAAAGACAAGAATCGCTCTTTTGTACCTTTACATTGCATAAGCGATAGGTTGTATTGAATTGGAACAAAAAACTTTTCAGATGCCTAAGCTACAGTCTTTCAATAAAATAGAATCACACACATATTGTTTGATTCAAAGTAAAAAACAAAACAAACAAACACAATGTAGTAAAAAAAAAATGTGTTTAATACATGTGATTAAAGTACAGATTTAAACAAAAAGCTCTGATATTAGATGAATACGCCTTAACTGATAACTTAGATTCCACTTGGAATCATGTAGATAACATGATTGTGAGAGACCAATGGGATCCCTTAGTACTACTAACTCATGTATCGGAGCTCTCCATTGGAGCAGAGGGATGGACGGTATATGGATGTGTAAAGGCAAAATCAGCAGAGGATTGCATCACACAAGATGGATATGTAACACCCTGTTCTCTGATAGTGTGTATAGGAAGTCCATAAGGAATAGTAAAAGACGGAATTGTTCTGGTGATCGATCCAGGGTCCGGATGTCGAGATCCAGTAGAGGGACCGATTCTCTTGTTCGTCTTCCTAGAATAATAATAATTTGAATGGCAATCTACCTGTGAGAATGAATTCTTCTATAGGGAGAGGTATAGGACACAGTTACAGATTTCTCGTTTTCTGGAAGAGATCGATTATTTGGGCATTAGGGGCATGACCTGAAAATCAATATATTATTAAAATCAAGTGTCTACTTTTACACACCATACAATGCATATCATAATCCCTGTCTCTCTGTATGCCCAAGACTAATTAATAATTCTGGATAATTAAAGTTCATTGAGAACTTTATACTCTGAAGGGTCTAGTAAGTAGTATTACTATGTATTAATGCTCAATCATGGGCTTCTCAAACGTACGAACTTCATTTTTTTATGAAATGGGTCACTTTTTTTTTTTTGAAATGTGTTATTGATTTATGATCTGACTGATTACAAGTAACTTAGTAACTATAAAGTACATACATTTTTTTGAAACGTAGGAAAACACACACGGCTATGGCTATTGTTACAACAACAAGAATTCCACACGAACACAACACGATCGTCTGCCATCCCTCCCAGTTATTTTTCTCTATGAAGTAATTAAAGAATTGTAAAAATGCTAGGTGGAATTATCTGTAAAAATCGTTATATACTGAAGTGTCTTGGACGTTCAAATATTCAAATACATCAAGATAGAGCTATTACTCACTATGGTTTTGTTAAGACAAGCTGCAGTAAAATATGATTTACTGTGTATTAAGTGCATTGTTATCGTATATATTTATTACTGGCATGTTTTTCCATTATTGCACCTTGTTGTAAACGTAAATTTTCATTTCTACAGAGTATTTTTACATTACTGTACCATGCTGACAGTTGTCACCATAGTAACCTTCTTGACAGACACATGTGGGCGTTCCCGCCACATCGGAGCACCTCCCCTCGTTCTGACATACTCCTCCACAGTTAGCTAAAAAGGAATTGAATATGTAATGTGAAAAAAGATTTTGATTATTGCTCAACACATTAGGCCAACTATAAAATAATGTTTGCTTGCCCTCTCCCGACCAGGATGAAAAAAATGGGTCGGTAGGTAGGTGGAATTTTTTTCCTAGAAAATTTCACCATCAATGCTGAATTTTCAAAATATATTTTCCTGAATGCATAGAAAAATTGCTTCCTGGAGGTTAAAAAAAGTTTTGAGTCGGGCCATTTTTAGACAGTCGGTCGGGAGAGGGCAACCAAACAATTTTTAAACATAGGCTTAGAAAATGCAGATTCACGTAGTTTTTAGTCATCACAAACACCACTTAGTCTGACATAATGATAGGGCTCTAAAATGTGTTTTTAATATGATTTGTTATTAACTTTTTTCAGCGTATCCATATTTCTATTCCTACCGATGGCGCAGGCGCCAGTTCCATCATCGCTCCATCCGGGGCAGCATGTCTCGACCACGTGATACTTAATGGCGTACCTTTCTCGTGGAGTATAACAGGTCTGTACTCTGGAAATGGCATCGAATCATAAATTAAAATAGTTTCTAGCATCTTTTTTGTGTTGGTGTTTTTCTGTATATAAAGTTTTGTATGATCATTTGAATTATTTCCTTATTTCTCTCGAGTACGTATTGCT